TGAAGGTTCAAGACGAACTTCCTTTGCCTAACTTCCTGCAATAAATGCAAGTAGGACGTTTCTCCGGTATCCTGCTATCTACGCCTTAAACGCTATATTGAAGACCGATCAACATTATAAATTAAATCTACATCATTCACTAAACGACCTTCTTCCAATAATCTCATACAATTCTCTAGTTCTTTTTGAAAAACACGAGTCATTTTTGAGAATATAAAATTATATTGTCATGTCTACATTTATTATTATTATTTAGCAATTACATGTTAGGTAGTTAGAATGGAACCGGAAAAACCTCCTATTTGCTTGGAGAGGGTAATCCAAAAAAATATGAGGTCGAGCTAAAAGACATTTATTGCGGGAAGTTAAAAATTCTATAACTTGAGTTATAGCCAACTTTCGAAACATTTAAGATATCACGTTTTTTATGATAGTCCAAAGATCAAAAAGATGCATAGAAAAATTTCCAAGATCAAACATTGAGAATTTGATATAGCCCCAAACTTTTCTAAAAAAAACAGACTTCCTTTGCTCATCCTGTAAAAGTGGATAAATAAAAGAAATATACTGGTCGAACCCTGGACGTGTGCTCAAAGAATTGGTCAAGAACCTCCCGAGTACCGCACCTCGATATCTCTTTCCGTTTCGAAAATATCGAGATTTGAATTTGGGTAAAATTTTCCATGTTGCAAAGCAACTGTTCACCAGTTTATTTTATTTATAATTATTTATTGAGGTAGATATTAGAAAACATAGTACGATGCAATAGAAGCAAACTACGAAAATAGTACGAGCCTAACTTTTTTTGACAGGAGAGAGCTTTTATAGCCCTTGGCATGCGGAAACGCTCGATAGAATTGTTGAATCCGCCTTGCCTACCCGAAGTGTGAGAGCTTTGATAACGTGGTACCTTGTATACTTATGCTGTTTCTATTTTTTCAGGGACTCGAGCAGTTTGCTGAAATGTAAGTGCATTTAGGGTTTTCTTATTGGTGTAGGGTTCACAGCCGAATCGGGTGAGAGCTGCGAGATTGATGAACTTGCTGGTTGTATGCGGTACAAGTACATTATACAACCGGTTTGTTAGTGTGAAGTGCGACATTTTGCGAAAGAGGTTGACTAGCCCTTTTATCCTCGGTAGGCTGTCGATTATGTCTTGAATCGATCGGGGCATTGCACATAGCTTCGAGAAAATTTGGGACCATGACCGACGGGATAGAATTGGAAGGGGCGTCTTCAATGTTCCTTCGGTTTCTACACTATCATAGGATAGCTGGACACAACAAGCGATGAAAGGGCGGAGGGCTTTTTTTGTCTGTAGAACCATTGTCTTTTTCGGGGTTGGAAGAAGACTTTGGGGAGCCGGATCTTGACTTGTAAGATCGATCGACTTCATCGATCTATCTCGCTTGTCGCTACTGACAAATTTCGCCCAATGCGAAGAGCGAGCATGGCTGACGAATGCGGCGGACGACTCTACATACTGTCCTCGCACAGGCAGGGTGCCCCATTTAGTTAGTTAGGGATCGCTAGGAAAAAGCGTCGGTTCAGTAGAAAGGTTAGGAAAATTAATAAAATGCTATCACACGGCTGGAAACTTTGAAGGTTTAAAGAATCGGAATAGCAATATAAAACATACGATTCAGGAAAAACGTTTGCGTCATAGAACTCCAAATAAGTGGTCGGGAGTAGCGAATAGCTATAGAAATTTTAGGGAATTTTGTTTGGGCACTCTGCGATGTGTGGGCGCTCATCGAGGGATACAGACAACTCTCCATCATGTCCTTGCCGAGAACATGCAGGCCACATCGAAAGATGCAGGCACTCATCATGCCCTTGCAGACCATGCAGGGGCACAGGGACAAGAACAGTTTGCTGAATTGTAAGTGCATTTAGGGTTTTCTTATTGGTGTAGGGTTCACAGCCGAATCGGGTGAGAGCTGCGAGATTGATGAACTTACTGGTTGTATGAGGTACAAGTCCATTATACAACCGGTTTGTTAGTGTGAAGTGCGACATTTTGCGAAAGAGGTTGACTAGCCCTTTTATCCTCGGTAGGCTGTCGATTATGTCTTGAATTGATCGGGGCATTGCACATAGCTTCGAGAAAATTTGGGACCATGACCGACGGGATAGAATTGGAAGGGGCGTCTTCAATGTTCCTTCGGTTTCTACACTATCATAGGATAGCTGGACACAACAAGCGATGAAAGGGCGGAGGGCTTTTTTTGTCTGTAGAACCATTGTCTTTTTCGGGGTTGGAAGAAGACTTTGGGGAGCCGGATCTTGACTTGTAAGATCGATCGACTTCATCGATCTATCTCGCTTGTCGCTACCGACAAATTTCGCCCAATGCGAAGAGCGAGCATGGCTGACGAATGCGGCGGACGACTCTCCATACTGTCCTCGCACAGGCAGGGTGCCCCATTTAGTTAGTTAGGGATCACTAGGAAAAAGCGTCGGTCCAGTAGAAACGTTAGGAAAATTAATAAAATGCTATCACACGGCTGGAAACTTTGAAGGTTTAGAGAATCGGAATAGTCATATAAAACATACGATTCAGGAAAAACGTTTGCGTCATAGAACTCCAAATACGTGGTCGGGAGTAGCGAATAGCTATAGAAATTTTAGGGAATTTTGTTTGGGCACTCTGCGATGTGTGGGCGCTCATCGAGGGATACAGACAACTCTCCATCGTGTCCTTGCCGAGAACATGCAGGGCACATCGAAGGATGCAGGCACTCATCATGCCCTTGCAGACCATGCAGGGGCACAGGGACAAAAACTGTTTGCTGAAATGTAAGTGCATTTAGGGTTTTTTTTTATTGGTGTAGGGTTCACAGCCGAATCGGGTGAGAGCTGCGAGATTGATGAACTTACTGGTTGTACGAGGTACAAATCCATTATACAACCGGTTTGTTAGTGTGAAGTGCGACATTTTGCGAAAGAGGTTGACTAGCCCTTTTATCCTCGGTAGGCTGTCGATTATGTCTTGAATTGATCGGAGCATTGCACATAGCTTCGAGAAAATTTGGGACCATGACCGACGGGATAGAATTGGAAGGGGCGTCTTCAATGTTCCTTCGGTTTCTACACTATCATAGGATAGCTGGACACAACAAGCGATGAAAGGGCGGAGGGCTTTTTTTGTCTGTAGAACCATTGTCTTTTTCGGGGTTGGAAGAAGACTTTGGGGAGCCGGATCTTGACTTGTAAGATCGATCGACTTCATCGATCTATCTCGCTTGTCGCTACCGACAAATTTCGCCCAATGCGAAGAGCGAGCATGGCTGACGAATGCGGCGGACGACTCTCCATACTGTCCTCGCACAGGCAGGGTGCCCCATTTAGTTAGTTAGGGATCACTAGGAAAAAGCGTCGGTTCAATAGAAACGTTAGGAAAATTAATAAAATGCTATCACACGGCTGGAAACTTTGAAGGTTTAGAGAATCGGAATAGTCATATAAAACATACGATTCAGGAAAAACGTTTGCGTCATAGAACTCCAAATAAGTGGTCGGGAGTAGCGAATAGCTATAGAAATTTTAGGGAATTTTGTTTGGGCACTCTGCGATGTGTGGGCGCTCATCGAGGGATACAGACAACTCTCCATCATGTCCTTGCCGAGAACATGCAGGCCACTTCGAGAAATGCAGGCACTCATCATGCCCTTGCAGACCATGCAGGGGCACAGGGACAAGAACAGTTTGCTAGAATGTAAGTGCATTTAGGGTTTTCTTATTGGTGTAGGGTTCACAGCCGAATCGGGTGAGAGCTGCGAGATTGATGAACTTGCTGGTTGTATGAGGTACAAGTCCATTATACAACCGGTTTGTTAGTGTGAAGTGCGACATTTCGCGAAAGAGGTTGACTAGCCCTTTTATCCTCGGTAGGCTGTCGATTATGTCTTGAATTGATCGGGGCATTGCACATAGCTTCGAGAAAATTTGGGACCATGACCGACGGGATAGAATTGGAAGGGGCGTCTTCAATGTTCCTTCGGTTTCTACACTATCATAGGATAGCTGGACACAACAAGCGATGGAAGGGCGGACGGCTTTTTTTGTCTGTAGAACCATTGTCTTTTTCGGGGTTGGAAGAAGACTTTGGGGAGCCGGACCTTGACTTGTAAGATCGATCGACTTCATCGATCTATCTCGCTTGTCGCTACCGACAAATTTCGCCCAATGCGAAGAGCGAGCATGGCTGACGAATGCGGCGGACGACTCTCCATACTGTCCTCGCACAGGCAGGGTGCCCCATTTAGTTAGTTAGGATCGCTAGGAAAAAGCGTCGGTTCAATAGAAAGGTTAGGAAAATTAATAAAATGCTATCACACGGCTGGAAACTTTGAAGGTTTAGAGAATCGGAATAGCCATATAAAACATACGATTCAGGAGAAACGTTTGCGTCATAGAACTCCAAATAAGTGGTCGGGAGTAGCGAATAGCTATAGACATTTTAGGGAATTTTGTTTGGGCACTCTGCGATGTGGGGCACATCGTGGGATGCTGACAGCATTTCTGGATAGAAGAGGTAAAGGTGTTTTTATGAGTGGGACCTCTGTGTCAGTAATAGGTTTTTCTGAAGTATTATTAAGTTTGGTTATTGCCTTCAACTAGCAAAACTCTGATAAACTTCAACTATTATACCACTGTGAAAAAGTCCGCCAAGAAGAGGGAAAAGTGAAGGAAGGAGTGTACCTGGGTCCATAGCCGAGATGTTGATAATGGGATATATAATTTAAAGGTATTAATATGGTGTTAAAGTAAGTACAAACAAGTACGATGATATGACACTCGAGTTACTGTATTAAAAACGATTATTTTTTTAGATAATTGTGGAACTAGAACTGACTAAAAACGTAGTCCCGACAAAATGATATAGCTTCAAAAGCAATGTGTGAAGAAATGGTTTGCAAGATATGTGATTAATCATTTTAGGAGAGATGACTTGCAAAACACGTGGCTGATGTCAGATCGTCCAGTGCTTCTAACGGATGAGATATGTGAAATGTTCAGGTTTTATAAGTGTACCTACTAAGCAACCAGATAATAAGGAAGTAGTGGTAGCAGTAGTAGTAATAGCAGTAGTAGTAGTAGTAGTAGTAGTAGTAGTAGTAGTAGTAGTTCTGGTAGTACTTAGTGATAGTAGGGCTAGTAGTAGATCATTACAGGTACGAGATAAGATGCTGAGGAGGAGACATCATGAATGCGCTAAGTTATCTACGTAAACTATATTTGTTATTATATATGTTGTAATTATATTCGGTATTCGTTATTTTTACTTTACTATCGACAGCTGGATAAAACACCTTTATTTATCGAGAAAATATGTTTACAAGCAAAATGGGTTACCACAATTCTTATTTTTACGTATTTCATCTCTTGTCTATTATTATACATGCTTTAAAAGCGCAAGTATTTTTCTTATTTTGTTTCAGCTTTCAGGTAAGCGTGAGGACGACCGTAGTTCAGGAAATTTGATGAACTATGAGAAATATTGATGATAATGATATAACTTTAATTTTTAATTACATTTGGTATTTTCATTTCTATTAGGTACACATTTTACGAACATATATATTTTCAGCCAGAATGTGATTGCATTTACGTATTTTACAAATCTGCTGCCCGATAATTTTCAGGTTTTCTTTCAAAGTCATAGCCCAAATATTTTTTTCGTTTATCAAGCTTTTAGCTAGGATGGAGGACGCTTCTAATTTCAAGAATGGTACAAGTTATACCCACTTCCGAAGGTGATAAACTGTAACGAATATTGATGATAATGATTTGCATAATCAGCTGTTTGAAAAAAGGATCTGACTGGATAGCTGGATGAATTTTTTATTGGACATCACGTGTTGGGTAAAGATACAGATTGAATAGGAACAACGACAACATGTAAAGATAAATCAAAGTCCCGATTTATAGTATGCAATACATGAAAACACCAATAGTGTCAAATTTTTTACAGGGTAAGCATTGGATAGGACGGCATCAAGAAGGTTGGTTTTAAATTTCACGAACCACTAAAGCATAAATAGAGCTGTTAAGGATCTTAAAAATGTTCCCAAGAAATATCTTCAAAACCCACAGTGAAAATATGAAGCTTGGAATTCCAATCAAACTATACTTGAATTTATGCTATTATCTATGAAATACAGAGTCAACCTGCTTGATGTTTCAAAATAATCCGAAATAGTATTCAAATGGGAGTTTGGTAATGATGTGAATTCTCTTTGCAGATGAATAGTGGATAATAGTAGTATATGGTCTACTCTCAATATATTGATGAAGTTTCACGAGACATTTACAGCCAGATTCTAAGCAAAATCTTCTAAAATGTTCACGATTTTCATACAACTTTTGAAGGAATTCAGGAACATATTTGGGAAAGTTATACTTCAACACCAAGTGAATTGATAATTGAAATAATGAAGAGGTATTTTTTACATAATCTTGAATACCTCTTGTTCATTTTTCCTCTGATTCACTGACGCCTTACCCGATAAGTCAAGTTTATCAGAAAATGTAACTTCTGAAACCTATTCCAAAAAGCATAAGCTTTCGCAAAAATTATTTTGTATTATGTTAAGAAATGAAAATGTGTCCAATTTTAGTTTGTGATATAATTTACATTCATAAATAAGACCTCTCTGACTTCGTTAGTGAGCAGTTTTTACTTAAAAAATTACCCTCGTTTAAACCGTTATTACAATGCTACTTTTTTTAGTTTGATAACTGGCAGGCTGGATAGTAATGGATTTTTGATGTTGTACAAACGAACTCTGAACTGTGGAACGACTTGATCTTTCTTTGCCTGACACAATTATTATTATTATGTATTTGAATTGTTATCATATTATTAAAATTAAACGTTAATCGATTACGACCTTTTGCGGTTTTGCGTTGATCGACGATTTAGCGGAACGTGAAATTACTGTTCTGAACGCAAGAATCGGAGTTTCCCGATAAAAAATTCAATTGACCTTCAAATGACCTTAAAGATCACAATCAAGCTGGCGGTCAAGTATATGACAGTAAACTGGTTCGCTTTTACTTGAAAATTTATATGGTCTTTAAATGACGTTAAGGGTCATGATCAAGATCATCGATAAGGACATTGTCCGCAAGTTGCTTTTCAGGAATGCATTTGATCTGTAAATGACTTGACGATCATATTCAATTTCATTGACATACTTGAACATAATGTTTTTTGCTCTTTCCAGTTTCATTTAAAAAAAACGTCTTGGCATTCAAATGAACCTGAAGGTCGTAGTCAAGGTCACGTTCAAGGTCTCCATTAGATAAATCTGTTCCCGCTTACATCTTTATTATATAATATTTTTCTTGATGAAACGTATTTTACCATTACCTACTTTTTGGACACTATCAAATAGAGGGTATGCGTTTTATAAAAAATGTTTTTGGGGATACCCTAACGGTGCACGGAACAAAATATTTTTCGAATACGGTCCTGTAAAAATCGTTGCATCGTCCTACGTTGAGTGCAGTGTTGCCAGGTGGAGTCGACGATATTTCGGTAGAGTTGTATGGAATTTTTCGGTAGATTGAATACCGAAGAGTGAATGGAGGCTTTTATTTTACTCAAAATATACTCTAAAACAGAAAGATAAAACAAAAATAAACAGTTTATATCTCACTTAAGCTAACTAAAAATAAAATATTCTTAATAAAAAACAGAAAAAGTTTATAAAATAAAAAATGTGTAAGCTATATTAAATGATCATTTTTCCGATTCATTTTTGTATAAGTTTTTATCAGTCATATTATCTAATAATTTTGCCAAATGGTCTATCAGCAGGAATGCAAATTATGCTCGGCCAAAAATTCGCTCAAACGAATTTCTTCTGGAATTAATAAAATAATCTATATAATCTCAAATCTTCTCAAATAGATTAATTAATTATACCTTCTTTCATATTATTTTCTAATGTCTTTGATGCAACTACAAATGATAACAGTTTTGGCTGTTTTGCAATGGTTTGCACTTTTTTATGAAATTGCCCAATTGCGTGTTTTATAAGAGCATCTCTTCCACTTTTGATATTAATATCTTAATCACAGACCATGCATTTCGCATAATCGCGGCCTTTATTGCTTTTTTAAGCCAGCCTTGGAAATCTGGCAATCATCGCGTATGTTCGGTGGCACACCAATGTCAGGCAAAGAGAATCAAAATATATCTGGTCTAGAACGAATAATAATAGTACTTTTGTCATTTCTTTTCATCGCTATGCATCAGGTATATTTCTCTTGTATAGCGAGCAAAAATTAATCAATTGAAAGAAAAGTCCACTTTTCGGTAGATTTTGCTTTAAAATCGGTAGATCTACCGAAAAATCGGTAGATCTACCGAAAAATCGGTAGATCTGGTAACACTGGTAGAGTGCTTTGTGAATGACGTTACTAGGTACGCGACAACGACTTATGAAGTCGTTGGTACGCGATGTGTCATTATTTGTAAAAACAACTGTCATTGCCAGTTTTATAATTGTCAGATGGAAAAGCAAACATCAAACATTTTGGTACTGTATTGTTATTGTGTTATGTGCGCTTCACTTCCTATATTTAGTGTTTATCTTGGCGATAAAAAATTCGCTTAGTTATTTGACTGCAGTTGCCAAAACCTATTTTCTAACTCGCCAAATCTGATGCTTTGTCAGTTGGGCTGATTCGGTAGGTTTCACGCCGATTTCCAGCGATGGAAGAATCGTTAGGCGCTCAATATGCAATGCAAATCGCGGTGCACACTTTGCGAGACAGATGCAAGAGCCTGCAGCAGCGGATAGCGCAGTTGGAGGATGAAAATGTGGAACTACGGGTCAGGTGCGATAGACAAGAAGTCAACGAGTCTTCCCTCTCGGAATTGGATACACTTAAAGAGCAGATCACACATTTGACTGAGCATAGAGACCAGCTGCAAGAAAAAATCAGAATGGTCACCTCTGAAAATCAGGTTAGTTCCTAATATTGTACGGGGTAGTAGGTAGTTCTTTGGAACCCTATTCCTAGATAATTTACATTTTGGGTGGTAATGCTGTTGTATAGAACATTGCTTTATAAGCTGTTTGGTGTAAAACAATCCCATATTTCTTGAAGCTTTTGTCTCAGTTCGGTGATTGTACGAGCAGGATGTTGTCGTAGAACTTTTTTCATCTCGTGCCACAAAGCTTCAATAGGTGAGATCTGGACTGCTAGAAACCCATTTCAAAAGTGGTACATTATTTTCTTCTATCCATTTTATAGCCTTTTTTGAGGTATGGCATGCTGCACCATCTTGCTGAAACACAAAATCTTGGCTGGATGTCTATAAACAAGTTGTGCAACTTTAGGGTTTTTACTTCACTTTTTTTTATAAGAAAACTTACCTTGCAAGTGCTAAATCCCAGTTTGTGGGCCTCTCTATAAGTTGTGGACCTCGAATTCTCCTTCCAACGCCAAAACACCCCGAGTTTTTGTAAGGAAACATTTTTGGACCATAGTTTATGAAGCACAATAACATTAATTTTTCATTTAGATTCACATCTTTAAATGTTCACATATCATTAAGGAACACCCTGTATATCAGAACAGTTAAATGGTAACAACCATTTTCAGGACCTCTGGAGCAAGCTTGGAAAACTGATCAATGTAAACAAGAATCTGGGAGAACAGTTGAAGAAAATAAATGACACAGTCACACAGCATACCACTCCCCAACATACCGCCCTGATAAGATCCAAAACCTTTACGCAAGATCATCCACAAACAAAAGTGTTACAGAAAAATCTGGAAATGAATGAGAAAATAAGTCTAGAGTTGGAAAATGTTTCATTGAAGTTGATGGATAGCTTTTCGAAACAGAAGATGGAACTAGAAGAGATTTGTTCTGAAATTGATAAGATGAGAGAGAGCGGGGAGGATGTGATTAGTGAAAATTGTGGATTTTACTTTGACGAAGAAATCGAAGATGATATGGTTGAAGAATTTAAGTATTTGGTAGACGACCTGGCCGCATTGAAAGAACAAGCTCTTGAACAACGAAAGGTATTAGAAGAAAATTTGAGGCATATAGAATCGATTAAAGGTAATTTGAGGCAGCACTGTTATCGTTTATACCATATAAATATTTCCCTTCAATATCGCATTTATTGTCCCTTATTGGCTTTTCAAATTGCAACCACCTGCATTTTTCTATTTCATCCTAACCAGTACTGTAACAGCTACTATTTAATTTACTATGAACAATTTTCAAAAACTGTCATTAAGGTGGCACTTTCACAAATTACAGAAAAGCCTGAATTTTCTATAGTTATGGCAGATTTTTCTGAAGGATAGGAAAGTCTATAAAAATCAAGGAAGCCATAAAGGCGTCCTACAATCATTGTAGGAACGACTGACGATACGATCCTAACATATTCCTTTGTTTTAGATTCAAATGCTTGCCAAGCGTGTGATAACAGGCAGAACAGCTTGCTAGACAAAAGCACGTCAACTGCCGACATTCCTAAAAACATCGTCGACAAAGCAACAGAAACACAAAATTTTACTGTTGACGAATCCGCTAAAACAACAAAATCGTCGCCAGCCGATTTTGACCAAGTATGCCCAATTTGCGCGAAGTTGTTTGGTAAGAATGTAGAGTTCTCGATATTCCAGCAACATGTGGAAGATCACTTCACTCCTGACGTGACATCCTATGAAATTTTATGAAAGTATTATCTTTATACTTTAGGTGAAATATTTTGTTAAGAGGCGTAGCACCTCTAGTGATGTATATATTATTATTTATTGACAATACATTATATTTTTTTCTATGAAGTTTTTATGTTATACATTTGGTGTCCCTGCGCTGTAGATCTCGGTAACCATCAAGGTGGCTACGCTATTTGACACAATACTTCAACAAGATAAAATGTACCGGCATATATTATACAGGGTGACCCAACGAAAAGGTCGCACCTCCATTTTTGACGTCGTGGTATCGTCGTATATCTATCGCCGTACAATACAGGGTGATCCAAAAATTATATATTGCGTTATACTTTAGATTTTTAAATTGAAACCCCATTTTTTTTTGTTTAGATTTTACATGAAGTTTTTAGTAACGTTTTTATAATAAAGTTTATACCTATCTCCAATCGTTGTGAAGCTATTTGAGTTTATAATAAAATTCGGCTAACTCAATACTGATAATAATGGAATGCTCTGCAAAAAATAATAATTATGGGTACCAGCAAGAACACTTAGCATCAGTCAATGTGATCGTATATCATAGAAAAACATTTTACTGTTACTATTATTATTATCATTATTATTGTCATAATAATTTTACAGTAATGTCCGCTTATAACGAACCTCAATGGACCGGCGAAACTCGTTCGCTATAAGCGAATTTCGTAATAAACGATAAATAATTCTAATACCAGAAGATATTTTTCATTAGTTTATTATTCAACCAGAGGTATATAAAATGTTTGGAATAGTATATAACAATATCTATAATCCACATTTATAAAAGTTTTTGAAAAACTTTTTTAAAAAAATCATTCGTTTTTTTTGTTTGTGAAATGCATATCATTAATATGTAATTCCACTTCAGCTAGTCGATCTAGCACACGCTGCGGAGTATTTCGTGACTGAAGGAAATGACGAAGTGCTTCTGATGTGGTTGGAGTTGGTATCAGCTCCATACTCATAGATTCTTCATCTTTATTTTCCTTTTTTTCGTCATCATCAGTATCAACTGCCGAAGATATAGCAGCTACAATGGCATCAACATACAGGTATTCGACAGTCACAACTCGGTCATCAATGTGAACAAATTTATTGAAATCGTTTTCACTATAAGGAAGATTGGTTCTAATATTGTCTCGAAGATCGTCTTCCTGTTGAATTTTCTTCATCCACTCGACTAGTGGCAGGTCATCGTCGGGATCAAAATGATCCTCAACCTCCAAGAAACCCCCATGCGTAAAACAATTTAAAATTGTTTCTTTTGATACCTTCTGCCATGCCATATGAATGATGATTGCATCCAAAAGATTGATGATAAAATTTTCCCGCCACATCAATAAAATGTACCATTCTCGAGAGAAGAACTTGGCGATAATGGCTTTTTAAACTGTGGATTACACCCTGATCCATAGCACTGGACAACAAATTTTAGTTTTTTAATTGTATCTTGTGGGAAAAGTGCACTTTTTTGTTAATTTTGGGGCGCTGAATCCAAAAATGACAATGAAATAAAAAAATTAGTTGCGGTTTAGAAAAAAAACTTTTTATTTTTAAGGATATATTGAAAAAAGTAACAAGATTCATATACTTATAAGAATCACTATATGCGCTGTCTTTTTGCTGTTCTTTTATGGATCGTTTCTGGAGCATCTCTACCAAGAGTCCAACAGTAGTCTGCAAGCATGGAAGGATTCCACTTTCCCTGGTACCTTTTTTCCATTGTTGAAATATCCTGATGAAAACGTTTGCCGTGCTCATCACTTACGGCTCCGCAATTGTCAGGAAAAAAGTCCAGGTGTGAGTGTAGGAAATGTATCTTAAGAGACATATTACATCCCATCTTTTGATACGATGACAGCATATTTTTGACAAGGGTTTTATAGTTCTCAGCTTTTCTATTTCCCAAGAAATTAGTGACCACCAGACGGAAATCATTCCAAGCAGTTTTTTCAATACCTGATAGAGTGTTTTCAAACTGTGTATCTTTCAAAATATTTCGAATCTGTGGCCCAACAAAAACGCAGGTATTGAAAAGCTGACCCATCTCTATCTAATGCCTTGACAAAGTTTTTCATTAGGCCCAACTTGATATGCAGTGGTGTTAGTAAATTTTTTTTCGAATCTACTAATGGCATATGCTGTACATTTTTTTGACCTGGCTCTAGGAATTGACGAACATGCCAGTTTTGTCTGGTGTAATGAAGTGCCTTTGCCCGACTGTCCAATTCACACAAAAAACAGCAAAACTTTGTGTAGCCTAGCTGCAGCCCAAGTAAAAGTGCAACAACTTTCAAATCGCCACAAATATGCCATTGGTGCTCATCGTATTTTATGCATGTCAATAGGTACTTCATATTGTCATATGATTCTTTCATGTGAACTGCATACCCTACAGGAAGAGATGGTAAAATATTTCCAATATGCAATAACACTGCCTTTAAACTCAATGTTGAACTGTCTATAAACAATCTCCATTCTTCTGGGTTATAGTTTATATTTAAAGCCGCCAGTAAGCCGTTAATGTTACTGCAGAAAACCAAGTTATTCTCCATATTGAAAAATGGTTCTAAATCTTTGTGGCGTTTACGAAAATCACATATCGAAACATCGTCTTCTAACAAGTTCGACTGCTGCAGTCTTGATCCAAGTAACTCTGCCTTACATTTTGGAAGTTCTAAATCTCTTACAAGATCATTTAATTCTGACTGTGTTATTTTGTGCGGTTGGTGGCATGACGTGCTCGGTATAAAATCAGGATCTCTTGACGTTGATGGCATATCTTCTTCCTGACGAATCACTTGATCGCCATGATCTGATTCGTTTTCTGATTCGCAAGTGTAGGATTCTGGGGGTTTTGGAATAGGATTTTCGTCACTGTGAGGCACAGGTCTCATCGCAGATGGTATGTTTGGGTAGTTAATAACCGATTTTTTTTTCTTGGACATACCTGTGGCTTGTCCAACACAAGGTACCATGCAAAAGTAACAATCATTAATATGATTTGTAGGCTCTCTCCAAACCATTGGGACAGCAAAGCGCATAGACCGTTTTTTGCCATTTAACCAGCTCCTCAGACTTGAAGCACATGTATTACAGCAGATGTGGGGTGCCCACTGTTTGTCTTGATCACCTAGTTTACAACCGAAATAAAGCTGATATGCCTTTGTTATTAGTGGAGTAATAGAACGTCTCTGAGACTCAACATCCCAATTCAAAAATCTCTGAGGTCATCCATGCTCTTTTATTGGATTTGTAATTAACTGGCAACTGTGAAACGTTTTTAAAACATCGAGGGTTTCTCGATCTGCCAATTACCAACAGCTTTCTTTTTTCTGTCCCTGTTAGATTTGCCACTATAAGCACAGTGATTTTCTTTAGATAGCTTTGAATCGCCTTTGAATCTTAAGGTCCTGTCAGATGTAAGCTTATAGATTAACCAAGTTTCCTCTGCATTGAATATGTCCTCGTCTTTGAAGTTCCTTCTAATGATTGGCCACTTGTTCCGCAACCAGTTATTCACACACTCCATATCAACTGCAGCAGACTCTCCAACAATTTTTCCACTGGTAATGTTATGTCGTCTTTTGAATCTTTCGATCCGGCTTCTACTAAATTTAGGTTCTTCATATTACAATAACTTCTTCCCAAGGTCTTCAGCCTTCGATTGCAGTATAGCACCACTTGTGGTTACTTTTTTATTTCTCTGTTGAGAAACCGTTTCAGAAGTCCCTGATCAACTTTATAATTCGTGGGCTTTAAATTTTCTTCACATTTATGTTTTGGTCTTTCTCAAACATTTCCAATATTTTATCTTTATTTTTCCCAATTGTACCAACCTGTAGTTACTATGAAAAACTGTAAATCAAATTCATATCTCAGAGTGCTTATTTATGTATGTTTAGGACATGTTGTTGTGCAGTGCTCACCGTTGATTTACTTAATCCCATTTCAGAACAAACTTCACTGCTTGCCACCTCCTTGCAATCTTTTGACGATATCGTATTTACTATTTAAAGTAAGAGCTTTACGTGTTTTCTTAGAAATTGCGTCACCCATGATTTCTAAAGTGCAGGACGCTGAATACAACGAATAAAGAAGGTATCAGACTAAATGGCGGACTGGGTGCAGACGCTGACGATTGCTCATACCCCACCACGCTGTCGGAAGATTTCGGTTACCTGTTTCTGGTAAAATCCAGTTTTACGCTCGCTATAACCGTAAAATTTTACGAATATATCAGACATTTTGGTTCGTTATCAACGGGTTTCAGTCGGTACCTTATAAATTAGTTCGTTATAAACGGAAGTTCGCAATAAACGGATTTGTTATACGCGGACATTACTTTAGTTGGTCTTCCATTTCAAATTGTTAAGTTAGTTTGTCCCAAAATACACCAGGAGAGTCACAAATGGGGGCGCGACCTTTCCGTTGAGCCACCTTGTATTTGTACGATTAAAATATTGACCTAGCCCCGTAACCAAAGACGTTATGACATACTCCCTCATATTCCATATGGCTGGGCCCACTTGACCTTGTCAACTGCTACTCAAAACAGTCCAGCTGACTGTTTGCTGTTCCACCTCCTTGAGTTTTTGTGCCATTATGTCCGTCGTGCAATTTTTCCTTTGTTTGAATAAGGTGTAACATTTTACCCCAGCCTTCTCTCTTTAGATTGACTACTTGATCTAGACGGCATTATCAAATCGAGTAATGTTTGGATATGCTTTATTCCTTAACAGTTACAAAACTACAATATATAATCATGCAAAAGTATATAGTATACATTTTTATGATTCTTTCTGTAATACATTTTATACATATAGCATTTCACATATTAAGGAACCAACTTTCGAGTATTTTCACGAGATGCACCTATTTCATAGTAGCACAATTTTTTTAGTTACAATTTTTTAATAAAATACACAAAGTATAGGATATTGTTTGCTACCATTAGAATAATCTGTAGGCAATTTCCAATAACGAAAAATAATTTGAACGACGGCTTTCTTTTACACGAATAAAACTATGGCTAATAAAAAATCTACCTAATAATAAGAGATCAAATATTGCATGATTGCACAAAAAACAAAACAAAAAGACAGTCTTTCAATTTTTAAATATCGAGATCCAAAATATTACAGGGTGGCCGATATGTAACTGACTAGTATCTTGAATATTTGTGAAATGAAATAAAATACGTCCATTAATCTTTTATTGAAACTTGGAAATTATGTATGAAAAATAATATCAGAAAAATGTCCACCTCTTGAAGCCGCGCAAACCTGAGAGCCCTCTTGATTACATTTTCCATCACATTTTGGTAGGTTTCGGTAGGAATATTTTCAATCGCTTCCGTAATAGCTGCTCTACAGTATTTGGTTTGTTGACAAACCCTATACAGCAGACGCTCGATAACGTAAACACGGGATAATGAAAACTTGCGCTAATGTAAACACAAACTTCGTTCTATAGGATCAAACGGAACGCGCGATAACGTAAACAACTCTCGGCGCACGGAAACAGCGCGACGGTAGAATGCTGAAGCCTCGATGATTTATGTCGGGCGTCGGGGAGTCCCCGATTTATGATGTAGAGTGTAGGGGTAGGGGATTCACCTCTGCGATAAAATACGACAAACTCGGTCAGTCGTTTGATCGTTTAGGATACGTTTATACGTACGTATGTATTTCATTTTTGAACTTAAGTGAATACATTGCACGCGTTAATATATTTTACGACTACGGCATTCACATCCTATAAAAGAAAGTGTTTAAAGTTGAGTGAGAAAGTGAAAATCATAGACGAAGTGGCACTAGGTGCGGGAGTGACACAGTTAGCAAAAAATAAGGAGTATCGAAAGCAACAATTTTTAAAATTAAGCGTATGAAAACTCAAATTTTACAAAGAACGTGCAATACATTTGGAGGTCCGGGAAAAAGAAAAACTTTAAAAAATGCGAAGGCACCTAAAATGGAAAATTCCCTGTATGAGTGGTTTTTGAAATAACGGGAAAATCATGTCCCAGTTAGTGGCGAAGTACTTAAACAGAGAGCGAGACTGTTAAATGAAAAACTGAAAGAAACTGAAAAACGATTCAAAACAAGATATGGAATTCGACTGCTGTCTATATCTGGTGAAAAATTATCAGCACAACCACAATTAGTGCAACCATTCAAAGAAAAATTGATGAAAACAATTACCGAGCTAGATTTAAGAATGGAACAAATTTACAACGCAGATGAAAGTGGCCTTTGTTGGAAAATGTTACCAGAGAAAACCTATGCTGCATCATTTGAAAAATCTGCCCCGGGAAGAAAGCCGGAGAAACAACGAATAACTTTCTAGCCTGCACTAATGCTAATGGTTCACACAAAATAAAGCCACTGGTAATTGGGAAAGCAAAAAATCCGCGCTCATTTGAAAATGTTAATATCCCTGTTGATTATGACTGTTCAAAAACCGCTTGGATGACTAGCAGTATATTCCTGAAATGGTTCCACAGGTGCTTTGTCCCTCATGTATGACAATCAATTATCACAAATGCTCTATTCATAATTTGAAGATGTGTTTTCAATTTGTAGGTAAAAGGTTTCCTAAAACAACAGAAGCTTCCAATAAAAGCGTTGTTACTATTGGATAATACACCAAGTCATCCTCCCGAGCAACAACTGAGGAGCAGGATGGGTCAATTTTCGTCATGTACATGCCGCCCAACGTAACACCGTTAATTCAACCGATGGACCAAAATATAATAAGACTCACCAAACTATATTATAGGAAGTTTCTACTTTCGTCTGTCTTATCAAAGAATCCTGAAAACTTATTTGAGGCTTTAAAAAAGTAACATTACGAGAAGCTGTTTTAGATTTACATATGGCCTGGAATGAACTTAACCAGCAAACTATTAAAAAATGTTAGAACAATCTCTTTTGTACCAATAATGAAGATGATGAAGAAGACGTAATTAGAGAACGTTTGCGATCCAATAATGATAATGTTATTAGTGTGTCATTGGATGTTGTTGTTTTATTGAAAACAGTGAATCCCAACATTGTTTGTACTCCTGCTGATATTAATTTATGGAACGAAGATAAGCAGACGAATGATGCTGATAAGGAGGAGGATATGGACAGTGAGGATGATGAGAACGATCCCATTGAAGTCTGAAGTGTAGTGACTGACGCGCAAGCTATACAAGTTTTTAACCAAGCTTTAGATTGGGCTGAAAGAAAAGAAGTTTCATACACGGATATTTCAGTTCTTCGTAAATTACGGGCGCAGGCATTGGAAGACAATGCTAAGCGCAAATTTACGCAGACAAAAATTGTTAATTATTTTTCTTCTAATTAAAAGAATACTTATCGCTGTTAGAATATTTGTTTATTTTGTTATAAATAGTATGTATTAAACGTTTCTTTTAATAAATCAAATATTATATAAATCACGTTCGCTAATGTAAACATTTCGATAATGTGAACCACACTTGGATTAAATTAGTTTGCATTATCGAGCGTCTGCTGTATTTCAAAAATCTCCATCAAAAAAGTCAGGAGCCGTTAAATCCGGTGACCTCGGAGGTCAGTTGACATCACCAAATCGCAAAAGATTCATTTTTTCATTAGCTGGGTGACAAGTTGCTCCGTCCTGCTGGAACCACATGTTTTGCAGGTTAAATTTTTGGATTTGAGAAGCCAGAAGGTTTTGCACCATATCACGGTAGCGCTCGGTAAAAATCGTTATTTTGGGTATTAAGCTGCAATATTGCATGACTTTGATGGTCACTAGGCTGCAGTTCTTGGGTTAACTGAATTTTGTATGGACGCAAATGCAAGTCTTTTTTTAAAATAGTGCTTAATGACGTGCGACGAATACCCAGTTCTTGAGAACGATGTCTGGTAGACGACCCAGGGCGCTCCACTACACTTTCACGAACTCTCTCGATATTTTCCGGAATAGGAACAGTTCGAACACGACCCTCTTAATTTCACCTGTTTGTTCAAATTTCCGCACCAACCGACGAATAGTGTTTGACGCTGGGCACATTATGTCGACCGGAATCCTGTCGTAGCTTCCGAATCGTTGCAACAATCGACTCATTATTTAACAATAAGGGCGCGTTGTGGGATCGTGTAGCGCGCCATGATGAATTGGACACATGTGCTTTAATCGTTTTCTACGGCGCCACCTGCTGAAATGCGTGTATCAAAAGTGGCGCGCAATTTAAATCAGTCAGTTATATATCGGCCACCCTGTATATGGCACCATTTATTTTAGACGCTATGCCAGTTCCATACAACGCCGCTTTCCGCGGGATTTAAGAACAAAATAATTTATTAATCTATAAATAAAAAGAAAAACTAAATACACTTAATGTCGACCATGTCTCAATTTTTTATGTTTGACGTGAGGAACGATTTGTAAAATATTCCTCACGAAAAAATCCACATACAAAACGTATTTATAATGAAATGCCAAGTAAATAGAACTGATTGTTTGAATAGTTTCTTACAAAAATTCCATCCATTTTATGAACTTGTTTACGATTTGCTCCTCCAAGTATTTCTGTAATGCATTTTTCTAACTACAATCATTTTTCAGTCAATTCTCTCAAAAATACACAAATAATACTGAATAATATGAGGATCATAGCAATATATGACAAATCTAATGGATATAGCAATCAAATTCGTTGAAAGTAATAGAAAAACGTGCGCGGCACTGCTGTCGTATTTTTACACTATTCTGATTTATCTATGATAAGAATATAAGGATATAACAAAACAAATTATCAATTTATAAAGGCGCAAATTTACCCCTCTAAAAAAAAAGTTAGCTATGAACTAAGAATGCGAGGTATTAGTAGCATTTAAACAAAAAATATGCATTTTCTTATTAGCTTTACTTACCTTTTAGCGATATTTTGTAATATTTTCAAAAACGCTGATTTTATTCTGATTAATAAAAAATAATTCCAGAAAAAATAGTTTAAAAAAGAAATTTATAACATGTTCTTTGGCCTAAATTTTAGGATATGAACAAGTTATCGAGCTGCGGTATTCGCGAGCTTGTTTAGACATCATTTAGCTACTTTTTCATAAAACAATCATATCGATGCATTTGATTTTTTGAGAAAATTAACCATTGCTGTCGGTATGTCGAAAAAGCCCTCTACCGGTCACATGTGTAACTAACAAAACTTCAAATATTATAACATTTGTAGCCCAAGAATAGCTCTTTTCAACTAGCCCAAGTTTGTTAAAATCGTCTCAGCCGTTTCGAATATACAGGGTGTTTTTTACGGAAACCTTTGAATACCCCCTCCAAACAAATCAAAAAACTACATTATCCTCAACTTTGGAGATCAGGCATTTTTTTTAGGTTAATATGGCGCAATTCAGAGAAAAATCACTTTTTTAGATTCGAGATTGCAGTTACGACCCCTAGCGGTTATTTCAGAAACTGGAAAATATTTTTTTGCCGCAAGCCTCTATGGATAGGTTCCCAGATACAGTACCTCGCATTCTTAGCCACCCTGTATAAGAAAAAATAAAAAGATCAAGTCAGTCATACAATTTGTCCCTCCCCATTTGACAACGTTGCGATCTAGAAATATCTCCCCTGCCTACTGTCAGTACCGTCGTTAAACCTCTCTAGCCAGCCAGCGGTCAGACCCCAACACAGGTTTATCCTCCGATAAAAAAGATTGAAATCTACCACGTTCACGCCCAACTGTAACCCTGCGTTAACATTTTCAAAAAATGAGCAGGACTCTAAAACCCCAAAACATAGACGTGATTTTAATTCGTTTCCGTTTTTTTCTTCGCTTTCGCCGTTGGATATATTTTCGGTAGTAATCTTAAGGCAAACTTTAATCAAAGCTGTAGCAGTACTTTTCAAGTTATACAGGGTGTCCCAGAAGTCGACGTCAAGCCGAAACCGGGTGATAGGCAAAGTCATAACAGCTATCAGAAAAATATTTAAAAAATTTTTATGTATGTGTTTTGAAAATTATAGGTATTTGAAAAAGATATAGAAATTTCACACCCTACGGCAGTCTGTCAACTCCTGTTACTACAAATATTAACTTTTTTTGGATTTTATTTTTACAATGTAATGATGAATAATGCATCTTCAAACTGGTGTCTCAACCTTACTGCCAACTTTTCTCGTTCAGGAAAAATTGCCACTTATTTCCCAACCAAGTATTCCAAAGTAAAACTTTGCTCAACTTTAACTGGCTGTACTGGAAAAAAATGTAGGTACTACGAGAGTTTGGCAAGTAACCTTAAAAGTTGGCGCATTTAATAACGATTCCAAAATGGTATAACACTTAGAAGACTACTCGTTAACTTATGAACAATTTTTATTTGAAAAAAAAAACTGATGAAAATTTTTCAAAATTTCCTAATTAAACAGCGATTACGAAAACACACAAGGACCCTTAAGGATAACTGTTTGCACAACAGTGGGCGTCAAAATGCTGCTGATGATGATTTACCTTTACAGCAAATGCTCAAACTGTTTTCCTTCAGCCGCAATACACGCTCGACAACTTAAAAAGATCGGGTTATTAAACGAGCGAATCCACGGTTATTAACAAACTCAGCTGCTTCCAATAGTCTTTGCCGTAGCTCAGCTACATTTTGAATCGGCTTGAAATACACTTTTTCTTTTACAGTTCCCCAGTAAAAAAATCTACAGCGTGTTCAAGCTCTTCTGCCCCGGGATTATGAGCCCCGAGTTGCTTTTTGTCGCACAATGTTAGAAAGACACAGGGAAGATCCACGGTTCTTTCAAAAAATTTTATGGTCAGATGAGACCACATTTAAGAATGATGGGTACATGAACCTGCATAACTTACACGAGTGGCACGTAGCAAACCCACATTTGATGAGAGAAGATAAATCTCAATATCGCTTCAAGATAAACCATTGGACAGGAATTTTAAATGGTAAAATAATCGGTCCGTTTGAGTTCCCAGAGACTTTGACTGCTGAAGTTTATTTGGATTTTTTGAAAAATCATGTACAAAATTTATTGGTGGACGTGGCACTGAGTATTTACAGGGACATGTGGTTTCAGCATGATGGCTGCCCAGCGCACTATGCACTCTCAGTGAGAGAGTATCTCGATCGAAACTTTCCAGGCAGATGGATAAGGCGGTCTGGTACAATACCGTGGCCAGCCCGATCACCTGATTTGAATCCTTTAGATTTTTTTACTGGGGAACTGTAAAAAAAACAGTGTATTTCAAGCCGATTCAAAATGTAGCTGAGCTACGGCAAAGACTATTGGAAGCAGCTCAGTTTGTTAATAACCGTGGATTCGCTCGTTTAATAACCCGATCTTTTTTAAGAAGATGTCGAGCGTGTATTGCGGCTGAAGGAAAACAGTTTGAGCATTTGCTGTAAAGGTAAATCATCATCAGCAGCATTTTGACGCCCACTGTTGTGCAAACAGTTATCCTTAAGGGTCCTTGTGCGTTTTCATAATCGCTGTTTAATTAGGAAATTTTGAAAAATTTTCATCAGTTTTTCTTCAAATAAAAATTGTGCATAACTTAACGAGTAATCTTCTAAGAGTTATACCATTTTGGAATCCTTCTTAAATGCGCCAACTTTTAAGGTTACTTGCCAAACTCTCGTAGTACATTTTTTTCCAGTACAGCCAGTTAAAGTTGAGCAAAGTTTTACTTTGGAATACTTGGTTGGGAAATAAGTGGCAATTTTTCCTGAACGAGAAAAGTTGGCAGTAAGGTTGAGACACCAGTTTGAAGATGCATTATTCATCATTACATTGTAAAAATAAAATCCAAAAAAAGTTAATATTTGTAGTAACAGGAGTCGACAGACTGCCGTAGGGTGTTAAATTTCTATATTTTTTTCAAAGACCTATAATTTTCAAAACACATACATAAAATTTTTTTAAATATTTTTCTGATAGCTGTTATGACTTTGCCTATCACCCGGTTTCGGCTTGACGTCGACTTCTGGGACACCCTGTAGACACACCGAACAGAAAAAATCTTTTGAATTCATTTTCAAAAGTTTTCGGGGCGTTGGAACAAAACGGAAAAAGCAAACGATAACAGAGCCTATTGCTCTATATGGTGAGAAATGAAGAAAAAGTAAGAGCAATGGAAATAGTGTTTGGAAAACGCAGTTGTTTTGCGACAACGAAGGAAATGATAAATTGTAGAAGAAATAGGGATTCAAAAAAACGTCATTAGAGATTATAAAAGGAATGATAGGCAAACATCTGTGCTGAGGATTGTAGCAATTCTAATAGTCCTATCTAAGAACCATTTAGGTAGGTAATTCGTTAAATCAGTATAAAAAGTAAGTAGACTAAGTGACATATAAAATCCAACACCCACAATTATTTATTGAATATAGACAATGCACGACCTCATGTCGCACGTGTTAGTTTAGACTTTTTTTTAAAAGCGTCCCGAGTAAATCTGCTTCAGTGGCCTGCTCGATCTCCAGACCTTTCCCCCATCGATGGGAAGAAGGTTGCAGCTATTATCACTTTCTACTTATCAGTAGACCTAAAGCTTGTGAAATTCCAGCACTCCTAGTCGGTGTTGCATTTTCTATGTCATTTAGCATATTTAAATGGTTGTATCTGCATTGAATCTGACTGTTCAGTAATGCCACAATTAGCAACATTCAAGAACAAATTTCAGCATAAACCGACCGTTGATATTCGACATATCTAAAGATATTTAAGACAGTTACAGTGACGGTATTTCTATTATCTCCAGACCCGATTTTCTAGCCACCTCAATCTTGTGGTTGTTTCGCATGTGTGAATTGAGGTTTCCTGATTGTACGAAAGCCTTATCGCAAAAGTGACACTTGAACGGTTTCTCGTCGGTGTGTAGCCGAATGTGGTTGGTCAGATTGCCAGACTGGGTGAAGGCACGGTCACAATGGGGACACTTGAACGGTTTTTCGCCTAGAACAAAGGAAATAATGATCATGTGAAACGAGTGACCCACCATCAATGAATCAATCTAGGACAATGAACATCAACAATCTAAGAAAAGATGTCTCGGTTCTCAAAAAAGATTCTAAATTATTGTTTCAATATAATTGGAGAGGAATATTATACTAAGTGACATATAAATCCGAACACCCAGTTTAAATGGTTTTATTTTAATAAAAGTTGGTGAATGTATTTATCTTACTGTAAATAACAAGTGAAAAAATGTTCAGCCTTATCAGTTGGACATTCCGGTTTTTATACTGCTTTTTTTTAATTCACTAACGCTCTAAAAATGAATATTTCAGCCGCAGTAAAGAATCAACGTTGGCGGATTTTGGTTCTTGACATCCTTTACGATCGGTTACGATGCCTAGAGTACGGAGACCTGTACGATTTCGTCAACTTAGTGAGTTTGATAGGGGCCGTATAGTGGGACTTCGGGAAGCTGGACTTTCTTTTCGGGCAATTGCAGTTAGAGTGCAAAGAAGTGTAGACACTGCGGTTAGGTGTTGTCAGGCATGGCTTCGAGAAGGCCGTACGCAAAGAGCAAGGGGCACTGGACGCCGCCGTAGAACAACAGACCGTGAAGATCGCCGCCTAAGATTATTGGCCTTAAGGGACCGTTTCTCCACTACCAGGTCCATTGCAAATGAATGGTTTGCAGAACACGAAAGACCTATTGGCATGCGAAGTGTTTACCGACGAATGAGAAGTTTTGGCTTGTTTTCATACCGGCCACACTGGGTCCTCCCTTTAACTCGAGAACACCGACGTAATCGCCTTGAGTGGTGCAGACAACGGTCACTCTGGGATCAGGAATGGAACAGTATTGTCTTTCGTGACGAGTCTCGATTTTGTTTAGGCATGCACGATGGTCGTGCCAAGGTTAGAAGGCGACGTGGTGAAAGGAGGAATCCACAGTTTCTTGTTGAAAGACATGTTCATCACACTGTTGGAGTTATGGTTTGGGGTGCTATAGCTTATGGTTCCAGGTCACCTTTAATCTGCATCAGAGGTAACATGAACGCGCACCGTTATATCCACGATGCCTGAAATGAGATACCACAGGAGGACATTGACCACCTGATCAGAAGCATGCCTAGGCGCGTTGGAGAATGCGTAGCACATCAGGGTGCATCCACACATTATAAAAGGTCAAAGGGCTTTAAAGCAGTGCAGTGATTTTGAAATTTTTATCATTTACTTATTATGCTTCATTAAGTACTTATACAAAATTTTATTAAAATAAAACCATTTAAACTGGGTGTTCGGATTTATATGTCACTTAGTATATTATTGGTGAATCATTGCTTAGTAGATGGTGAATTCCCAACAAGATTAAAGTGTTTCGCCATTGCTCCTGTGCCAAAAGTTAAATCTTCTGAGCTATATACAAATATGTCGCCGATTAATCTGTTGGTAGATGTCGACAAGCTGTTTGAAATGATAAAATATACGAGTAAGTCATTGAAGAACACAAAAATTTTGACAAAAAATCAAGCTGGATTTAGAGAAAAATATTCTACAGAAACAGCGATCCATATTGCGGTGGAAGTATAGATGAAAAAAAATGTATTGTAACATTATTTTTAGACTTCAAAAGGGCATTTGAGACTATAGATAGGGAAAAACTGTTAAAACTGTTAATGAAATTACATCGCTACGGTTTTAAAGGCTCAATATTAAACATTTTACAAAGTTATTCAGTAAATGGGAGTCAACTAAAGTTGAAAATATTACCTCAGACATTTTAACATAGAACACTGCAAAAATTCAAATATTTGCGAACGATACATTGATATATGTACAGTAATGTACAAAAGTATATAGACAAATATGAATATTTACCTAAATACCTTTAGAAAACGAATTCATACTTAAAATTAAAAAACTAAATTCCTTGTTTTACATTATCTGCAATGAACACAATACAAGTCTTAATATGAGCACTTTTTTATGAGGGACAAAAATATGTAGACAAATTTTTCAACATTAGTTTAGTACTGTTTCGTGTCAGAAGAGGATTAATTTGTGTTCATCAAGTATTGTGGAATAAGTTGAGTGATTTTAAGACCATGCCGCGTGGTCCAGAAATTTCTTTCGATGTGAAAACTAAGATCATTGAGTTATACAAAGATGGTCAACGTCAAGTCGACATTGCCAAAAATTTGAGACTAAAGCGTGAAGCAGTTTGGGCAATATTGAACAAATATAAACAAAAAGAGGTATCTTGGAAGCCTCTAAGAGAAGTGGTCAGCCTAGAAAACTAAATGCTAGATCAGTTAGATTAATAAAAGTAATTTCGTCCAAAGATCAATTTACAATTTGCATGGTTGCATCTTGATTGGAGCATCTGTGACTGAAAGAGGGTATGTTTCAGTGACGAATCCAAGTTCAATATGTTTCGATCAGATGGTGTTCATTACGTTAGACGTCGTAGTGGACAAAGATTTAACCCCAAGTACACTTTGCCCACTGTCAAACATGGGTCTGTTATGGTTTGAGGGTGCTTTTCGGGGTTTGGGATGGGACCTTTACATAGAATAGATGGCATTATGGATAAGTTTGTATATACAGATATACTAAAGCATGTCATGTTACCCTATATGGAAGTCAATATGCCCTTAAGATCAATCTCCCAGCAAGATAATGACCCGAAGCACACTTCAAATCTCACAAAGATATTCTTTCTGGATGAAAAAATACCAGTTCTCAAATGGCCTTCACAGTCTCCCGATATAAACCCCATTCAAAATCTATGGGAATACTTAGATAAGCAAATACGAGATAAAAATTATTCAAACAAAGATGAACTTTTTACCGCTTTAGAGCAAAACTGGAGACATAATGATGAATCTTAGATCAAGAAACTTCTACAATCTATGCCGAGACGATGCCAGGTGGTGATTGATAATAATGGTTATGCTACAAAATATTAATAAACGTGGTTGGTTTTCTATAATTCAATGAACTTTGCTTCTTTTTTCTATAATTGTTTTGCTTTGTCTATATATTTTTGTCCATCATAGTTCCAGTTTTTTCAATTAATTTTTTATTGAAGGGAGTCTAATGAATTTATTTATGTATACAAGCTGGTGTATTAATAAAACAAGTTAAAAAAGAAATACACCACAATATTAATTTGTCTATATACTGTCCATTACGGTATATAACTCATAAACATTTGGACACTGCTTTAGAACTGTTAAATAGTGATATTAAAAAAAAATGAATTGGTTAAATGTTAATAAACACAAGCACTAATAAAACAAAATTTAAGTCAATAGGGAAACATTTAGGTGATAAAATTAGGCTCATGAAAAAACTGAAGTCGTCGAATCATTCAAACATCTGGGTATATATGTGGATAGTAAACTACTGTTTCAAGAGCATTATGAATAAATTGTTTCAAAAATATCAAAAAAGAAATTACTTCTATAGAGATTCACATAATCTTAGTATGTATTCCAAAGAATTGTGTACAAAACTATAATTTATCCTCATTTTTCATATTGTTCAACCATCTTGTTTACACCAAATGAAATCATATTTTCAAAATTACAAATTCCTCAGAATAAAGCTATGAGAATCATTTTAAATGAACAAATATGCTAGAATAAGTCTATGTTAGAAGAACAACAGTGGCACGAAAATTCCTGGCCATGTCAGGAATTTGCAAAAATTTTATAAACATGAAAGATCTAAGCTAAACTTACCTGTATGTATTCGCATATGGTTCACTAAATTACAGCTCTGTGTGAAGGATTTGTTGCAAACTTCACAAACATACGGTTTGTCTCCTGTATGGGACCTCATATGGATGACAAGGTTGCTATGTGAATTGAAGACTTTCTCACAAACAGAGCAACTAAGGCTGTTTCCTGGCGTCCTAATGAACAAAATATACATCATAATAAATCCAAGATTGAGAAAAGTTCTAAGGCAGAGAATTTTCATTTTAACGTCATTTTTTTTCGGTAATTGGTGGCTTTCCCAAAATATACTAGATTAGTCACAAATGGGGGTGCGGCCTTTTCGTTGGGCGACCCTGTATCATATTTACTTTTATTTAAAATTCAAAGTTTAGACTTCTGTCTATCACAAGTTATTTTACCTAGATATAACTTTATGCTGCATCAAATGAGTCTTCATTCTCCTAAAATATTTTTTACAAACAGGACACAGCTCAAGCGGGTTAGATCTTCGTTTTGCGTAAGTATCTTCTGTGCTTGATGCTTCGTCCTTGGATATCCTTCGTACCTGTTCTCTTCGCGGCCTAAAGGATAAAGTAAAAACAGTTGGTTTTGAATGTTTTAAAAACGCTTTTTAACCCGTAATGAAAATCAACGAAAATTGTAATTGGGAATGCCCCACATTTATTACATATCGTGCAATATGTTAAATTACGAAAATTAGGGGAAATTCGTTTTTCAAATAAAAAATTCCTTGTGCCTGAAAAACATGTAGTAGCAGTAGTAGAAGAAGAAAGATTTATTTAGCACATTTGGCTACATAAACAGAATAATTGTAAACAACTTAGAACTAGTAAATTCAAGCCATATGGTGTATGACGTAAATGCTGGGCAACCTATAATTGTAGATTTAACAAGTGATTTCTCAATTTTACTTTAAATTTTGTCAAAGTTTTCTGGTCTTTTATCTCCGAGTATAATTTATTATATTCAATGAACCCTTGGTGGAATACAGATTTGTAGCATAAGTTATACTTTTTGGTCATTAAATGGAAGTCATCTTTATTTCTGGTATTATGTAAATGATGGTCGACATTTGATCATGTTAAATTAGTTAGACTTGATGGAAATATATTATTTTTTACTTTATAAATGAATATCATTACAAGATATTTGATAAAATTGTTTACATTGAGCCATTTTAATTTGCTAAGCATTTGCCTAATTGGAGTATATTTATCTTTATTCAGTATTATTCTCATGCACTTATTTTGTAAAATTTGCAGTCTTTCAAAAATGGAATTATTTGCTAAATATAGAATCGTTGAACAGTACAAGAAATTTGGAAGAATGATGGTATTATAGATAATTTTTCTGCTATATGAACTCTGACATCCAGAAACTCTCGTTAAATATCCCACTTTACTACTAATCTTATTTATAACTTTTTCATAATGAATATCAAAAATTAATCGAGAGTCAACAAAAACCTCCAGGTATTTAAAATTTTCTACGAATTCAATATCTTCACCATCAATATTCAGTTGAACATTTGTACATTGTTTTTTTCTGATTAACAAGGCTTTCGTTTTATTTGCATTTAATCAGTTAGATGCTAACCATTTTGAGAGAAGTTTCAAGTCTTTATTTATATAAGAGATACCAGTCTGAATATTTTCAGTACTTATACATATAAATCATAGTGTCATCGGCGAAAATCTGAATTTTGCATTTTTTGACTATGGCAGGTAAATCATTTATGTATAAAATAAAAAGAAGTGGTCCCAGGATACTGCCCTCTCTATTGTAGAGCATTTCAAATTTTCAGGAAAAGAACTGCTTCTCAGTGAACAATTGATCCAATTTAATACAGGATATCCCAAAATTTCGAAACAGTTTTTCAGCACGTTTTTAGTAGTGATTTCGGCACAGTTGTTATTTGATTTTAAACTGTTTACTTTTTTTCTTAGATAATTCAATGATACGCTGTGAAATTTTGAAAGTGTATGCAACATTTCGCTCTGGAAACTGACTTTCATATAGTCAGGTGCAGCATTGGCAGTACCCACAATATCAACAATACTTTCCACAAAATATTCATTTAGTTTGTTTGCAATCACCAAAGAATTTGTTTCGGTACCGTTTTCGAATTGAACTTGATTTACACAATCATGCGGCTTCGAATTGATCAGTCTTTTTAAAGTCATCCACATCTTTACACTGTCGCACTTGTTATTATCGATTTGTTTATCGTAGAATTTCCTTTTTTCTTCTCTAATTACATACACACATTTATTCCTAAGAGTTTTATATACCTCCCAATCATCATTTGATTTTGTGAATATACATTTATTGTATTGTTTGTCTCTCAAATTTTGAGCTGCCTTAATATTCTTGTTATACCAGGGTGTATTTTTCGTCGAGCAAATCACTTTTTTATCAGTTGCAAGATCTAAACAAGTTTTTATATTTCCTATTATGTTGTCATATATTTTTTCCATATTTTCACCAAAATTCCAATAACAGCTAGCAAGTTCTCGTTCAAGTTTTTCGTACTTAATAGTATTTACGATTTTCTTAATTTTTGTATCAGAAAAATGCCCTACCAAGGGCAGCATTGTCCAGCTGTGATCGCTAACTTTAGGTGTATGTACAGCTTTAATCCCTGCACATAATAACAAGATCTAACAAAGTCTCTGATAATGATGTTATTCTGGTACTCTCTTCAATTTTTTGCTTGAACCCATAGTTGTTTATGGTTTCTTTCAATTGTCTTGTTTTCATGCTTTTACCATAATAATTTAAATTAAAATCACCTAAAAGTATTATATTGTTTCTAAAAATCCACATTTCTTCGCATTTTTCTTCAAAAAAACGCTAAAAATGTATCCGCATCATTGTTTGGTGAACGGTAAAAAGTACAAAGATCATAACGTTTCCCAAATAATTTGAATGTGGGAATCTTGCTTTTAAAACAACGCCTTGTAGATGACATAATGATTTTGCAACCTATTCTGTGCATTTCATGTTGATAAATCTCCATGTTCTGATGGTCTACATTCTAATGAATGTTTACTGACGTTTCGGCCTCCTTGGTGGTCGTTTTCAAAGTACAAATAAAAAATGATGATGTCTTAAAATGTCGACTTTAGGTGGTCTCCTGACGTTGCCATTTTTTTATTTTTACTTTGCCACAGAAATGGCAGAAACGTTAGTACGCATTCAACATGATATATGATTCCATTTGGTGGCAAGTAAAATGTAAGGATTTTTAGATTCATAATCATAGATCGCAGTTTATACTGACCTCGTACGAGTCTGTGCATTGCAAAGGAACGGCTTGATCGTCCCATTTCCCTTATGTGAAAAATCTTTTCTGAATGATCTAAGTTTGATACTGTCCCTAGATGGTTCTACTGGTGTAATAGAGATGTCTGGTTCGATATGAGTGAATAAGTCATGTTCATTTTTATCAGAGTCACACTGGAAATAAACATGAAATCAGTTATTAATTCACATTATGGACACCTCCATCAGTCAGTTCCTCATAGTCCCGCGGACACGAAAAACTGTTCTAACCGGACAGAAAACAAAATAAAAAGAAACGGCTTGTCTTATTTTTTTCTGTTAAGAGTATCGCTATTGTATTTCCCAGTCGTACCTCGCGCCATCTTCGCTGGGATTTTCTCGAGGAAACCGGGGATTCACTGACTTTAATCTATCGGTAGAAGCACAGCCTATGTGGTGTATTTCTGTCCGGTTAGGGACTTTACGGAGTTGGTCGGGGATTTACCGTTCTTATTCTTTGGGTACACGCTTTCGATTAAATTTCCATTCTGTATTAGTGTATGCGGAAAAGACAGTGGGCGACACATTCATTGAAGAAATGGCTCCAAATTATGACACCGGTTGCAAGACCTAGATTGGCAAGTGGCTAAAGAAAAAAGAAACGTTTTGTTACTTTTAGACAATGCGGGATCTCATCCGAAATATTCACTTAAATCATTGCCCCCTAATTGTACATCAGCTTGTCGACCAAGGGATTATAAGGAGTATTAAACCTGATTACCAAAGTCTAATACTCAGTAAACATTGAAACTGCTGGTACAGCTTTTGAATTGAATGGAAGCCTTTATGATTTTTTGAACCTAGATGAAAGTTAGTGTGTTGAAGATACAGATTCAGGCCAAGAAATTGAAAATCCAGTTAAAGAGCTTTCCGAAGCTTGTATGTCAAGATCTAGATTCAGGCCAAGACATTGAAAATCCAGTTTAAATACAACTGATATTGATGAGGTTCCAGTACCAACAGAAGCTATTCCAAATTATGGTAAAGCTAAAAAGATGAGATAGATGACAATATATGAATTTTTGCATCCTTAAAGTGACTTTTTATTTCATTTTTTTGTGTTACTACATATACAGTAATGTAGAAAAGTATATAGACAAATATGAATATTTACCTAAATACCTTTATAAAACGAATTCATACTTCATTGCTCAATAAACAAATGCGTTATTAGTATAAAAACTAAATACCTTGTTGTTACATTATCTGCAATAAACACAATACAAGTCTGAATATAAGCACTTTTTTATGAGGGACAAAAATATGTAGACAAATTCTTTTCAAAATTAGTTTAGTACAGTTTAGTGTCAGAAGAGGATTATTTTGTGTTCATCAAGTATTGTGTAATAAGTTGAGTGATTTTAAGACCATGCCGCGTGGTCAAGAAATTTCTTTTGTTGTGAAAACTAAGATCATTGAGGTATACAAAGATGGTCAACATCAAGTCAGCATTGCCAAAAATTTGAAGCTGAAGCATAAAGCAGTTTGGGCAATATTGAACAAATATAAACAAAAAGGTATCTTGGAAGCCTCTAAGAGAAGTGTTCGGCCTAAAAAACTAAATGCTAGATCAGTTAGATTAATAAAAGTAATTTCGTCCAAAGATCCGTTTAAACCCCAAGACAAATAAAAGCCGAAATCGAGACAAAAGGAATTGTCAGTGTTTACCAAAAATTTTAAGTAGAAGTTTAAATGATTATATGTTTTTTGCACGTCGCCTGAGTAAGAAGCCGCTAATCTCGAGGAAAAACCGTAAGGACCGTTTACAATTTGCATGGTTGCATCTTGATTGGAGCATCTATGACTGGAAGAGGGTATGTTCCAGTGACGAATCCAAGTTCAATATGTTTGGATCAGATGGTGTTCTTTATGTTAGACGTCCTAGTGGACAAAGATTGAACCCCGAGTACACTTTGCCCACTGTCAAACATGGAGGTGGGTCTTTTATGGTTTGGGGGTGCTTTTCGGGGTTTGGGATGGGACCTTTACATATAATAAATGGCATTATGGATAAGTTTGTGTACACAGACATACTAAAGCATGTCATGTTACCTTATATGGAAGACAATATGCCCTTAAGATCAATCTTCCAGCAAGATAATGACCCGAAACACACTACAAATCTGGCAAAGAAATTCTTTCTGGATGAAAAAATACCAGTTCTCAAATGGCCTTCACAGTCTCCCGATATAAACCCCATTGAAAATCTATGGGAATACTTAGATAAGCAAATACGAGATAAAAATTATTCAAATAAGGATGAACTTTTTGCCGCTTCAGAGCAAAAGTGGAGACAGATTGATGAATCTTTTATCAAGAAACTTCTACAATCTATGCCGAGACGATGCCAGGCGGTGATTGATAATAATGGTTATGAATTCAATGAACTTTGCTTCTTTTTTCTATAATTGTTTTGCTTTGTCTATATATTTTTGTCCTTCATAGCTCCAGTTTTTTCAATTAATTTCTTATTGAAGGGAGTCTAATGAATTTATTTATGTATAAGTGCCTATTATGCTATAAAGAATTATGTATACAGGTTGGTGTATTAATAAAACAAGTTAAAAAAGAAATACAGCACAATATTAATTTGTCTATATACTTTTGTCCATGACTGTATATCTAAAGGTAACAAACCTTTCTTTTCTTAAGTTTAAAGTTTTTTGTTTAAGTTAAAAACTTTTATATATATAAAGGAGATTCCACTGTATTTGCTCACCAAGGGGCAGAAAAGATACCTATTTAACTAAATGGTTAAAACATTTAAGGGTTATTGGTTGCAAATACTCCTATGATATTCAGCCAAGTATTTTTTTTTAGCATACTCTGTGTCCTCCTAGAGGCTTAGATTGTCTGCAGACAATTTGAACATTTTCCATCTTTGCTTACTTCAATAACTGAGAAGAATTTTCCCCTCAAAACATTTATTAAATGATACTTGTACATCAGAATACGTTTCTCAAGTGCTGAAAATCGATAGTATGTTAGAACTAGATGTTTTCCTAGGTGCAGTGGCTCCAAGGAAAAAATAAAACACCTACCTCTGTAATTGAAATGTCCCCATCATTTATAATGACCATTGGCTCTAGAGTAGCATGGAAATCGTCTAGTTCGTCTCTCATATCCATGTCTGAAAATATAGGGTCCCCTTCAAGAAAAAAATAACTTCTAAGAAATGCATTTTTTGTTTACATTCGGATGCACTTTTCTCTATTTTTAGGAACTGTCAAAAAGGTATAAAATAAACAAACCCAATTTTTCCGTTTTCATCCGTTTTCTGAATGGAACTGCCTTAGGAAACGGCGGATTTAGGAAGACGACGCATTCCTGAACCACGAAGATGCCTTTATCTAAAATTACAATACAAATAAAACATGTAAAACGTCTTCGGGCTCAAATTGTTAAAAAAATATACAAAAATTGCGCTTTCGCTGTCAAAATACGTCACACTTAAAATCGATAGACTTTTACTACCAATTTCAAATCGTAAATAAACCAAGCTATGGCGCGTTTTTTAAAAACTGTAGAATCTTCAATAATTAATTCAAAAAAATGATTCATAGATCTAGTCCCGGAATTTTGAAAATCACTTAACCGCAATTTAGATAAATTTACTTGGATTATGTTCAAGAAAAATGTCTTATTGCTGAATAAAAATAGTTTTGATAGAGCATCTATATGGGGAATTTGGCTGATGCCTATCCTGTTGGTATCCCTGAATTGTGACGTTTGGGGACTTGTGGTTAAGTTGGTGGACGCGAAGCTTTCTTTCCGGTCAAAGTTGCAGAACCGTCAGCATGGGTGAGTGTTGTGTTGTGCTTTTTGGACAATTTTTCAGTGTAATTTTCGAAATTTCGATTTTACTCAAGAGTGAATAACTTCTCTAAAATGTTAACTTCGATTCGCTTCAGTTTATTTTCGGTTTTCGCTTTCCTGGCTCGAATAGTAATTTTGAACGTCTCAATGCCTGAATGATGCTTTCCTGAATAGTGAGTTAACTTCGATCTACGTTCATCCTGGTGATTATTTTCGGAAATCTTCATATTTTGCTTTTAATCGCTGCATCAATTATTCAACTATCCATATAACAACGTATTTTAGTGAAATTCATACAGTTTGACTTGACATATTATGATTCTCAGGTAAGCCCCGTGGTTTAAGAACAGCTAGAAAACACGTGAATCATCGCAGGGAACAGCGATGGGCCGATAAGGACTACAAGAAGGCCCATTTGGGAACGCGTTGGAAGGCCAATCCTTTCGGAGGCGCTTCTCACGCCAAAGGCATCGTCCTCGAAAAAGTGTGAGTTTTTTGAACTTTGTGCATTAATAGGTTAAGCCGCTATTAACGCCCTTTTTTCAATGGGGCGTTGCTTGATGAATTCATTGATCACAAAGTTTATGAGTCTCTGAAAATGAACTGTGTTGTGAGTTAGTTGAACAATGATGACCCTGCTGTATACAATTTTGATAGATTTTTAATAATTGATATACTTTTTGGCATGGAGTCTGTGAGAATATGTATAAAACAGACATAGGAAATAGGTTAAGAAGTCGTATTGCTGTGGTGTTCAAGGCATGGAAAATATATAAAAACCTAACTTGAATTGTAAGTAAAAAAATTATGCCCAACAGGCCAAGTCATTGGTATTCACAGATTCTACGCTTTCTTACAAGCCTAACCTATATTTTTCTCTCAAGTGAATGTTACATTCAGTACTTCTTGTGGTCTGTACCATCAGTAACTGCTGATTATTCCATTTCATCAGCTCATATTACAATAAGTAAAACGTCCTTTGGATGGACACCAACAGGACCGACTGAGTGTCCATTTAAGAGAAGTGTATGTTGAAAGAAAGACAAAAATCGTGTTTGTAATTAAAACAATATAATAAAGAAACTGGGACATTCAAAACATATGTTTATAAATGTTTTTAAAATAAACAAAAAACTTTAAACTTAAGAAAAACGTTTGTTACCTTTAGATATATCAAAAAGTACCAGGAATCTAAGAATAAAATGAAAACAGTTTAAATTTCAGTCAAATTTATTTTATTGCCTTCAAAATAACATCCATTTGAAGCAACACTTGTACTTTTTGATCATAGGGTATGTACGTACATATATATAATGTATGTACATACATAGGTAACACAAAACAATGAAATGAAGTGACCTTAAGGAAGCAAAAATTCATATATTGTCATTTGTCTTCTCTTTTGATTTATGAAAAAACTTTTGAGCTGTTTGGTACCATAATTTGGAATAGCTTCTGTTGGTACTGGAACCTCAACTATACCAGTTGTTGTATTTCAACTGGATTTTCAATTTCTTGGTCTGAATCTAGATCTTGACATACAGGGTGCGTCATCTATTACTTTGTTTTATTTGAAAAATCAACACGCTTTTTACGAGGTGAAATCGAAATTTTTTTTATTGATAAATGAAGGTTGGTTTATGCCATTTATGTATGAAAAATAACATTAGAAATGTGACCACCGCAGCTTCGTTTACAGGCCAACATCCGAACATCAAAATTTTCAATGACTTTTCCCATAATAATCGGGTCTATTGTCCCAATTTCCGTCCGAATCGGGGGCCAACTGACATCTGAATTTCGTGAAATTACGCGGTCTTGAAATTTCGTGTGCAATAAGGCGAGACGTGTGAGCCGTTACTCTGTCTTGATGAAACCAAAATCGTCGGCACCAACACGATCCAATTGTGGCCACAAAGAGTCTGTTAACATGCCGCGAAAGCGTTCCCCGTTGACGGTAATGGCCTTTTCTTCAGCATCTTCAAAGAAGAATGGTCCAACGATGCCACCAGCCCATAATCCGCACCAAACAGTCACTTTTTCAGGATGGAGGGGTTGATCATGATATTGGTGTGGATTTTCAGCCTCCCAGAATCTGCAATTTTGCTTAGTTACATACCCATTGAGGTGAAAAATGAGCCTCATCAGAAAAGAGCACTTTGGCTGAAAATCCAGAATCCAATTAACAAAAATACGCCACTGTTGATGGTCTGCCGGGTTCAATTCCTGTGTTAGTTGGATTTTGTATGGCTGGAGGTGTAAATCAATGTGTAAAATGCGGCGTAAAGTTGTTGCGAACGGTGTCTAGTCGATGTGGTTGGATCTTCTCGCACACTTTCACTCACTGCGGCTATGTAACACATAAACTTATAGGTAAAAAAAAAGTAATAGATGGCGCACCCAGTACAAGCTTTCATCTAGGTTCAAAAAATCATAGAGTTTTTCATTATGTTAGTTTCCATAAATTATTATTTTTGAGGATATTCAAAAGTACATTAATTTGCACTGTTTCTTTGGTTACTTGGTTGTGTTTCTGGGCATATTTGTGTTTATGAAATTGTGAAATATGCATCTTGAGAGCACATGATATCAGACTTTTGTTTCTATGTGTTTAATTATAATAAGATGCAAGATAAAGCGCACTCTGAACCATTGGGTAGACCTTTTCAATGGACTATACGCTCTGATGTGTGTGCTACATATTAGCTTCAGTAGGGTTACTACAGCTAATAAGCTAACTGCCCCAGTTGCCAATTCTAATTAGCTATGTTACTATGAGAACCTATTGTGCAGAGCCAGAACAGTTCTGTGGGACTGATGAGTTTTTTGTATTACAAGAATTAAACATGTGTAGTTATGAAATACTTTTATTTCTCTCATGTACAATGCTATGTATAAGTAATAATATTAAGTTTTGCTCTACGTTTGAAGACTACCAAGGACCAGGAGTATTCGTGCATATTACACTGCGCAGAATTTTGCTTGTGAATTGGTTTTTATAAACTCCAATCACAGGAAAATTCTGTGCGATGTGGTGTGTGTCGCAGCAGAATCAACAAGTATCCTTTTTAGAAGATAAGCTTGACATAGTTCTGTAGCTGAGAGTGTACAGTGGATAATATAAAAATCAGATTTTTTTGTACAGTATTATGCATAACTTTACCAACAAGCCTTTTCAGGAGGATGAAAACTTTGAACACTTGAAGTCAAGTTATCCTTTTCAAAAATAATGCTTATGATACAATTTGCTAATTAATGGCAGTTTATCACTTGGAAGTGCTTCTAACACTATACCAAACATTTTATCATTTGGTCAAGTTCTGCAAAATACAGGGTTATCCAAATTAAGTGTCCACCATTAGTAACTTTGTTATTAGTGAAAATACAAAGTTGTTTGAATTAGCAAACTAGTAGCATTTTTAACGCTGGTAAAAATGAGAAATAAAACAAAACAATTGAGAGTCGTTATTTTGATTTTTTTCAGTAAAATAAAATTTTTTTAAAAGGAAACCCCTGTATATTATATTCTGTTAAAGCATCAAATTTTAAACAAAAAAGCTTACAATAACTTTTCTCCTAGGTTACAAATTGTTGAAGTTATGGCCTCCAATCTGAAACAATTAAATTGTATCGACAAACTTTATTTTCAACATCAACTTATAATCTTACAAAATGCAATAACAATTTTTTTTAAAGAAGATGCTCGAAAACACCACCTTGTTCTTCAATACATTTTTGGGCACGTTTTTCAACTGCTCGAACTGTCTTAAGTATGGTCCTACCATCTATCTGGGTTATCTTTTCCCTAACTGCAGTCTTTAACGCGTCAAGGTTATCGTACCTTCGCTTGTAAATTTGGTTCTTTAAGTAACCCCACAAGAAGTAATCAAGTGGGTTTAGATCTGGTGATCTGGGAGGCCACTGTATTGGGCCATTTGTTCCTATCCACTGATCATTAAAAGTAGTACTTAGAAAATGATAAGTACCTCTGGAGTTGTGGGCAGGTGCGCCATCTTGCTGAAAATGCAGATGATGTCTACTTATTAGATCCAATTCGTCTAAGAAATTAGTCAGAATTTCTGACATAAATTCCACATATCTTTCACCAGTTAGGGTTCCCTCATAAAAGAACGGGCCAACAATTTTTGAACCAATTATACCGCACCAAACGTTGAAACTGAAACGGACTTGTGGGCCTCTTGGATGTACTAACAAAAGATTTTCTCTTGACCAATAATGGTGGTTTTTTCTATTAAACATTCCAGAATTTGAAAAATTTGATTCATCTGTCCATAAAAGGTAACGAAAGTTATTTACATTTTGGCGACAGAAGCTAAGATACCAATGGCAAAAAACAAGTCTTCTCTCTGGATCCCCTGCCAAAAGCGTTTGAACTGGTCGGTACTTATACGGAATAAATTTGTATTTTTTTAAAATCCTTTGAACAGTACCATAACTGAAATTAGAGTCCTTGAGAATATCTGCTATTGAATTCTCACGATAAGCTTCAAAATATCCAATAACTGCAATTTCCGTGGCCTCGCTTATTATGAATTCTTTTTTTGCCCTTGTTTTAGCAAAAACATTTTCGTTGCCCCTAAATTTTCGATAAAGTCTCAGAAAATATCGTTCATACGGTTGAATGCGAGCGGGATATAATTCACTTGCTCTCAAGGAGGATTTTCTGCACACTAAATAGCATTCTAACATATCACACTTTTCTTCATGGGAGAACATTTTTCTTTAAATTAATGACACAATAAAGTTAATAAACAAATATTTACACTAATGTTTGACATTATTTGATTTTATCATTGTTTTCCAAAGCCTTCTAGTTGTTGTCTAGAGTATGTCCAGTTTAACAATTTGTCGCTTATCTTAATGCTGTCAAATCGCGAACGCCATGTTGTTTTCATAGCCGTCTTAATATTATAATACTGCAAATAATTAAAAATATTTATCGTTATTTTGACTTTATTTTTGACTTTAGCGGAAAAGTCATTATGAACTTTTTTGTTTAAATTTGATGCTTTAACAGAAAAAAATATAATATACAGGGGTTTCCATTTAAAAAAATGTTATTTTACTGAAAAAAATCAAAATAACGACTCTCAATTGTTTTTTTTTTATTTCTCATTTTTACCAGCGTTAAAAATGCTACTAGTTTGCTAATTCAAACAACTTTGTATTTTCACTAATAACAAAGTTACTAATGGTGGACACTTAATTTGGATAACCCTGTATACAACATGATACAAAAGTCCTGGAACAGTTCTTGGGCAAGGTATTTTTGGAAAGGCCTTCAGTAACTTTCAGCTAGGAATTCAACGACGACCTTGAATTTGAAATTCACCTTCAAGGTTAATTTATGGTCGGCTTCATTTTTTCAAGTAGAAACCCTTATTTTTGTGGCCAGCGATCAAAAGAACAAATTTTTAAATTCAAACACAATTAAAGTTCAAGATGACTCCTGAAGATCAAATGTGTGCTGCTAGAAAAACCTCTGTAAATATTACAGGATCAAGTGATAAAAGTAACTATCAAGATCCAGTTTGTAGTAAATTTTGATGAGTGATCTTGGATTTGACCTTGAAATTCACCTTCAAGTTCTCCTAGCAGCACACATTTGCCCTTTATGTGATCTCTAGTGGCCACATTGACCTTGAATACTAATACACATTTGAACATGAAATTTCCGGCTCTCTGAATTGTCTGCATCAAATACGCGTTTTGAAAAAAATAGAGCTGATATTGAAATGACCTTGAAGGTGAGGTTCAAGGTCAAATCCGAGATCACAGCTACTTCAGACCTGATCTTGAATTTCAATACATACTCGAACGTAAAATTTCTTGCTACTAAACATACCTACTTTGGGTCAGTTTTAATGAGAGAACTACAGTGCTCGTTACAAATGATTTATAAGTTTGTTTAGGTTTCTATTAAAAAAAAAAATGAAATGACCTTGAAAGTGCGTTCAAGTCAAATCAACGATCACTCGTCAAAATTTACTAAAGAACTGACAATAGTTTTTATTACTAATCTTGTAAGTTTTATAGATGTTTCCTAGCAGCACACATTTGACATTTAGATGGCACACTGACCTTGAGCTTCAATTCGTATCTAAACGTAAAATTTTCTGTCATTTCGATTGCTGGCATCAATCAGGGTTTTCCATTTAAAATAATAAAGTTGACCATGAATAAACCTTGAAGGTCACCGTTGAATTCCTCGCCGAAAGCTATTGAAGACCTGACCTTGATTTTCTTACCCAAGAAAATACAGAGCCATTCCGGGACTTTGAGTCACGCTGTATAGCAGCAAATATTACATTTGCTACTTAGCTTGAAATGTACAGTTTATAAGAGAATCTGTTAAATACCTATTTATTATGGGTAAATTGAATTTACTACAATTGCAAGCTAAAATATCGTAATTTAATAGAACAGAAATTGGACTTACATCTCAGCTACATTGGCTATACTTTGTAGTACGAATTCTCCATGCCTTGAAAATAGATACCATAAATGATTTATATTCCTTCTGCCAAATTTACTTAAGATCATAATGTTTTCACTTCCAAAACAACATATTGAAGAAGAATTTTCTGAAGTATGAAATTATAGTTACCCAAGATTGCCAATAGTTTTATTTCAAACTGCTCAAAGATCAAGGGAAATTCATTGTTTCTTTTACTAATACCCACTTTGTATCTGAATATTGTCAAATTGGACTAAAATTGTCAGTCATTCAATATCACATACATTTGTGTTAGTGATGTGTGTTTATTTCAGAGGAGTTGAAGCCAAACAGCCAAACTCTGCTATCCGCAAGTGCGTAAGAGTACAGTTGATCAAAAATGGCAAGAAGATTACCGCTTTTGTACCTAGGGACGGTTGTTTGAACCACATTGAAGAGAACGATGAAGTATTAGTTGCAGGATTTGGTAGGAAGGGTCATGCTGTCGGTGACATCCCTGGAGTAAGGTTTAAGGTGAGATATTTCAGCTTATGTCCAGAAAATAGATTTCACTATGTAATGTTTTTTTTTTTACTTATTGTTGTTAATATTCATATTTACTCTCTATCTCAAGGCTAAAACCATTTAATGATACTTGTTCATCAATCAAAGGTTTATAATAACTATTAGTAGTATCTAAAGCCCCTTTGACACAATCAAATTTTGAGGTTTAGTAACAAAGTATAGAATTCATAAATTCAACCTAACCTGTTCCAGATTCACCCTGCACCCCCATCCAAATTTCTTTTGTCATCAGAGTCGGCCACATAATGCTGTCTATGCATAGAATTATAAAACACTACAGAGATGGATTTTTAGTGGGCATGACAGAAATTATTACATGCCTTTTGTTATGTGAAATAGGATGAACAATTTGACTGTGGCTTAATAGTTTTCGGCTTTTCAAAAGACTATATGTACTTGTTTTAAAGGGTTGTCCAATAGGGACGCAGGAAAGTAAACGTCAATTTGACATAGACGCCATCTTTGTTTTCTGTCACCGACATGTCATTTTGTTACTTGAATGTTTACCATTGATCGCTATGGAGTCGTATTCGATTGAAGACCGCATTAAAGTTATTCAAGAGCACTACAAAAATGGTGCAAAAATAAAAAACACGTTTCGCGCGCTTCGTGAACATTTCGGTCGCAACAACCGCCCAAACGAAACAACCATCGGTCGTCTGATGCGTAAATTCGAGGTAACAGGTTCTGTGGCAAATCTGCCAGGCTCTGGCCGGCCAAGGAGCGTTCGCACACCGGAAAATATTGCTGTTGTGAAGGAGAGTGTGAGAGACGATCCGAAACAATCAACAACGCGTCGATCCCAAGAATTGGGCATTTCGAGAACCAGTTTGCTCCGCATTCTCCACAAGGATTGGAATGTACACGCCTACAAGATCCAATTGACGCAAGAGCTGCGTCGGGCCGACCATTTTTCGCGCCGAACGTTCTCAGATTGGCTCCTTGAACACCGCCAAGTTGATGCCAATTTTTCATCAAAAATCATGTTCAGCGACGAAGCGCATTTCACTTTGAATGGGACGGTAAACAAGCAAAACTGCCGCATCTGGGCGAACAAAAATCCCCGTGAGAATCAAGAGCAGCCGATGCATCCTCAAAAAGTGACTATGTGGTGTGCATTGTGGTCAAAAGGCATCATCGGACCTTACTTTCTCGAAAATGCGGCCGGGGATGCCGTTACCGTCAATTCTGAGCGTTATCACGTGATGATAGAGGACTATTTTTTGCCGCAACTTGAAGAAATGGATATGGACGATGTTCCAACGTCAATATCCATCGATTGCAGTCCTTCTTCGATGATCGTGTGATTTCGCGCAGAGGAAATGTGCCATGGCCACCAAGATCGTGCGATTTGACTCCCTTGGACTTCTTTTTATGGGGATATTTGAAAAGCAAAGTCTACGTCAACAAACCAGCCACCCTCCAAGAACTCAAAAACAACATCATTGCCGAGATAAATGCCATAGAACCGACCATATTGCAAAATGTCATTGAAAATTTCGGCCATCGCGTGGACGTCTGTAAATCCAGTCGTGGTGAACATTTGAGCGATATTATTTTTCATACATAAATGGTATAAATGAACCTTCAAAATAAAGTACCCAACTTGATTTGAATATCAATCTTTCTTGTTTTAATATGCGTTTACTTTCCTGCGTCCATTTTGGACAATCCCATATTTCCAATTGTATCAAGTCTAGCCTAGCCCTATACTGCATTGATGAGTGCTGAAGAAGATGAAACAACATTGTCTGAGCTGGGTCATGTTCACATAGATGGAATGCAAACATCCAGTTCAGTATTAATAGTTTTTATGATGATTCAGAAATAGAGCCAATCCTATGAACCTAACTTGATTAAAAGTATTTCTAATCTGATGCCATTTAGCTTAATTGTCTAGGTTGTACTTCTGATTGGTTTGAAGTACATTTCTTTTTTCATTGTTTCAGGTTGTCAAAGTAGCAAACGTGTCTCTGCTAGCCTTGTATAAAGAAAAGAAGGAACGTCCTAGATCATAATTTATAGTTTTTTTATGATGTGATAACTTGTATATGAATAAAGATACAAGGTTATTTTTTGTTTAGGTTTGTGCCTTTCTTTAAACCTGCCTAATTCGTTAGCATCTGACAAATGTAGTTTTAGTTTTTCTACTACTACTTTGAAAACTGCTCGACGTTGCACCTGATAACTTTTCAAGAACATACTACTAAGGTTTTCGGTAGAAACGGAATATAAATGTGACAATTGAAGAAAACTGTTGTTGGAAAAGGGATCTGAACAAATATCTAATGCGGTTGAACCATAATTTTTAATTTGGTAAAAATATATCGATCAATATTTAACGGAAAACAGTTTTACATTTTGTGAAGCGCATATACAGGGTGGCCCAACGAAAAGGCCGCACCCCTATTTGTCTGTATATTTTGGGAAAAAACGCTCGGACACGTCAATCTTGATTTCTAGGGGGACGTCTTTTCATCTACAGGCTGATCCAAAAATTAAATATTGCGTTAGATTTTTAAACGGAAACCTCCATTTTTAGATTTTCCATGAAGTTTTGAGTAACTTTTCTATAACAAAGGTTATACCTTGTGTGTGAGCTATTATAATCTTAGCATTTTATTAAATTTTATTGATGTATTATACATCTGTCATTAGGTCCATATACACTTCTTAGCTCTTTGGTAATCATTTTGAGTATTCTATTATTTTTCCTAAGTTCATCTTGGTGCTTCAGTATCTGTACTTTCTTTTTCTTGACGCCAGGCTTGTGGATTAAAAATGCATTATCCAGTACTAGGAAACTGTAATCTAGCATGCACAAGTGGTAAGCCTGGAATTGAAAGAGAAATTGATAATTACAATCTGGTAATTGAGCGAAATTTCTATTTTATTATTTGAAAGTTGTTGCGTTATAAGCAATTCAGTGTACAGGGTGGCCAACTAAGAATGCGAGGTATCTTGGGACCTACCCATCGTAGAGCCTTGCGGTAAAAACAGGTATTATTAAAACCGGGAAAATATTTTACAAGTTTGTGGAATGGCCGCTAGGCGGCGTATCTGCAATATTGAATCTAAAAGTCATGTTTCTGTGAATTCTATATTAACCTTACAAAAACTACATGATCTTCAAAGTCGAGGATGATCTAAACCTTTTTTGTTTGACAATTTTTGCTGTATCTCCAAAAATAAAGGTTTGCGTAAAAACACCCTGTATCTTCGAAACGGCTGAGCCGATTTTAACAAACTTGGGCTAGTTGAAAAAAACTACTTTTAGGCTGCATATGTTATACAGCGGACCCCCGATAATCCGGCCCCCCTGTAATCCGACATGTCTTTGATTATTACATACGTATTTGACAATCTTCGCTAATGTAGATCACGCAGGTTTGAACAGGTTACAACTTGTACGCGCCACCGCTATCGTGCTCGACGCGTAAGCATTGTTTTACTTAGTTTGAATTTGACTACTGGTGATTGCGGTACGACCTAGCGTGCGTTCATTGTTTACCATTTATTCATTGTGTATTAAGTATAGTACCTAGTAATGTCATCACAAACTCAGAAGCGAAAGCACAAAACATTGACAATTAAAGAAAAATGTGATATTTTAGACCGATTAAATCGCAATGAAACTTTCAGTAGTTTAGCAAGTGAATACGGCGTAGGCCGATCTACAATTTATGACGTTAAAAGAAACCACGAGAAGATCAAGAAGTTCGTGTCAACTACTGATTGCGGGCCAGGCAAGGGACAGACACTCAAGAAAGCTGAACATCCAGAAGTGGAAGAAGCTTTGTACATGTGGTTTCTTCAGGAAAGAAATAGGCATGCACCAATTTCAGGACCCATGTTGGCCATGAAAGCTAAGTTTTTTTATAAGGAAATAACAAAAAAAGATGATTTTGTGGCCAGCAAAGGATTGTAGAACGTTTTAAAAGTCGTCATGGCATACGTTTAATGACTATTACAGGAGAGAAACTTTCTAACGATGCCACCTGCATAGAGCCCTTTAAATTAAGATTTTTGCTAAAGGTGAACGACTTAAATCTTGACCCATCACAGGTGTACAATGCAGACAAATGAGGGCTTTTTTGGCGTATGATGCCTAACAAAACTTTCGTTTCTTGTAACGAAAATTCCGTACCTGGACGAAAAGTAAAGAGCGTGTAACCATACTACCATGTGCTAACGCTGCGGGCACACACGCGCTTAAGATGATGGTCATTGGGAAATCTAATAAACCACTGGCATTCAAAAACATTGATTTACCTGGACACTATTACGGACAAAAAAGTGCATGGATGACAAAAGACCTTTTCAAAAAGTGGTTTGATGAATGCTTCGTACCTGAAGTTGGAAAATGGTTAAAAGATCCTAATTTTCCTCAAAAAGCGTTGTTGTTTCTTGATAACGCTCCCGGTCATCCGTCTGAAGAACTAACAACTGAGGATAAATGCATCACTGCGATGTTTTTTCCGCCAAATTTCAACCAATGGACCAGAATATCATTCAGTTTGTCAAGCAAGACTATAAGGAAAACCTACTTCTGAAATATAATATGAAAGTCTTGGTTTTTGCTCTTTGTCAGTCGTGGAATGCGTTAACGTCATCGACTATTAAATCGTCTTGGAAAAAGTTATGGCCAGATATAGTCACCACTCCTAGCAACGTTCCACAAATCAGTGTAACTTCGGAAGTTACAGAACAAGTCGCTACTGAAACACAGATAAGTCCGGAAGATTTGGAAATCTGGTGCCGTGGAATGGATAAAGAGGAAAATGTTTTTCATGAAATGTCTGAGGAAGATATTATAAAAGAGGTTTCTAATTATACAACAAATAATCAGCAAAATAATGACGACGTGATTGCAACTGCTCCACAAGTCACAGCACAAGACGCAATTAACGCCTTTGAGCTAGGTTTACAATGGGCTGAAGAGAATGGTACATCCTACAACGAACTTTTACTTTTGAGAAGACTGAGGGACAAAGCTCTGATCTCGCGTTATAACAACCTTAAACAAAAAAAAAAATGAATATTTACAAGCTTCATAATTTGATAAATTCATTAATGATTTTGATTAATAATTCTTGATTATTTTGGTACATATGTATGTGCATTTATGCTTAACTTTATAATAAAACGTAAGCTCTCTATTGTTATTTAATTTAGTAAATTCGACATACATAAGCTATGTATGATTTGTACTTCAAAGTACATACATACAGGGTGACTTCGAAGTTGAGTCATTTATTTTAACAGTGAGTAGATCTGATCAAAAGAAATGTTTTTTCCTTTACCATTTTTCTGGTAAAATTAAAGTAACAAAGTTATAGCCCTTTGGAACTTTGAGTACCGCCCTGTCTCAATAATAATATTATGTGCTCGTGTTTGGCAACAACAGATATAATCCGCCTTATCCGTTCATCGCATCGGAAACAAAAAAACGAAAGAATTTGGAACGATGTTTTTACAATTATTTTCTTCAGTTGTATACAGTCAGTGTCGTCGGTAACGCGTGAGTGAATAGTGGTGTCTGTTGCGTGGCTCAAATCAAAAATTGCACATGTTTACGAAAATGCTGAACTTGTGGACATGGTTCTTATTTACGGGGGGAGTCTTTACAAAATGCTGCCGCGGCATCACGGATCTATGCGGATCGGTTTCCCAATCGAGTGCAACCAAACCCTCGTGCCTTTGTTAATGTAGTGCAAAGAGCTTGTGAATCAGGTGACTTAAGACCTCACAGCGGAGATCATGCCGGTGCTCCAAGACCGCACGATCAAATAGAATTAGAAGAACAAATTTTGGAATTAGTAAATGATGATCCAACAGTAAGCACCCGACAAATTTCAACTCAATTGGCGATTAGTCAATATAAAACTTGTAAAACTCTACGTGAAAATCAGTTCTATCCGTTTCACATACAAAAAGTGCAGGCCTTACAACCGGAAGATCATGAACAAAGGGTTGACTTTTGCAATTGGCTTTTAAATAAACATCAAAATGATGACAATTTTTTAAATCAAATTATAGTGAGTGATGAAGCCCTCTTTACTAGAAACGGAATTATTAATTCACGTAATTCTCACGTTTGGGCTATTGAAAATCCCCATGAAATAAGGGAAATCAATTTTCAACAGCGATTTGAACCAATCAACCTGTGGGCGGGAATTGTTAATGGAATTTTAGTGGGGCCTTTTGAATTACCAAATCGCTTAACTGGTGAAAATTATCTTGATTTCTTGCAACACAATTTGCCTGGTTTACTGGAAGATGTGCCTTTAAATATTAGACAAAACATGTGGTTTTTACAAGATGGGGCACCACCCCATTATGCAAGAAATGTGCGTGAATTTTTAAATAGACAATTTATTATTCGTTGGATCGGCCGTGGCGGTTTTGTACCTTGGCCGCCAAGGTCTCCGGACTTAAATCCTTTAGACTTTTGTTTGTGGGGTTCGAGCAAAACGGAAATCATTTCGAACAGTTTTTGTGACATGCTTTTGGGCGCACAGGTCCGCACTGAAATACTTGTCGGGAGGATACTTTATAAAACAAGGTAACATTTTTTTTTCTTATTTTTACACACATATTTTGGTTTATCTTCCTTCTACAATCATTATCTGAAAATTAATGACTCAACTTCAAAGTCACCCTGTGTACATAACATATATAATCTCACCATTGGATATGTAATTTGTCGGATTACAAGGTACTCTTTTGTAAAAAATTCCGGACTATAGTGGGTCTTAGGCAGTGCCCTATAATCCGACAAATTCGATAGTCCGACACTGCCCTGCATAATGTTTGTCGGATTACCGGAGGTCCACTGTATATTCGAAGTTTCGTTAGTTTCACATGTGGCCGCTAGAGGGCTTTTTTCGACATTCCGACAGAGATGGTTAATTCTCTCAAAAAAATTAAATGCATTGGTGTGATTTTAAGAAAATGTAGCTAAACGACGTCTAAACAAGCTCGCGAAATCCGCATCTCGATATCTTGTTCCCAACCTAAAATTTAGGTTCCTCAGTAACGGTAAAAAAAAAGGTATGCCGGGCACCATGGCTTCTAACTCCGGAAAGTTTGGCAATTCCATATTGCCGAAGTCTCGGAATTGAACGCGTAAAAACCTTTGGGGTAGGTTGGCGTCTGTTAGGAAATCTACGTTGATACTACCAAGAAGCCGTGTTTCGAAAAGAAACAGTGGCGTACTATTTTTATTTGGAAAAAATGCCACTAATTCCCTGTATCTCCGCCACTGGTGCCCGTTCAGTAAAGACTTTTGAATGTGGAAAATACTTACATACCAAATTTTAGTTCATTCCAGTTGACGGTTTTGAATATATACTAAGTGACATATAAATCCGAACACCCAGTTTAAATGGTTTTATTTTAATAAAATTTTGTATAAGTACTTAATGAAGCATAATAAGTAAATGATAAAAATTTCAAAATGATTGCACTGCTTTAAAGCCCTTTGACCTTTAATAATGTGTGGATGCACCCTGATATGCTACGCATTCTCCAACGCGCCTAGTCATGCTTCTGATCAGGTGGTCAATGTCATCCTGTGGTATCTCATTCCAGGCAACCACCAACTCCTCTCGAAGTGCTTCTAGAGTCTGAGGAGGACGTTGCAAATTGAGCAATCTCCTACCAATCATATCCCACACGTGCTCAATTGGGGATAAGTCGGGAGATCTTGGTGGCCATGGTAACAATGTGACATCATTATGTTGAAAGAAGTCTATTGTGACTCTTGCAACATGTGGTCGGGCATTATCTTGTTGGAAAGTTGAATCTGCCAGGGTGTCAAGATAGGGTAAAAGATGGGGTTCTAGAACTTCGTGGATATAACGCTGCGCGTGCATGTTACCTCTGATGAAGATTAAAGGTGACCTGGAACCATAAGCTATAGCACCCCAAACCATAACTCCAACAGTGTGATGAACATGTCTTTCAACAAAAAACTGTGGATTCCTCCTTTCACCACGTCGCCTTCTAACCCTGGCACGACCATCGTGCATGCCTAAACAAAATCGAGACTCGTCACTAAAGACAATACTGTTCCATTCCTGATCCCAGAGTGACCGTTGTCTGCACCACTCAAGGCGATTACGCCGGTGTTCTCGAGTTAAACTGGGTGTTCTGATTTATATGTCACTTCGTATATTAAAAAAACATTGTTTTTTATTTTTAAACTTTAACACACCATATCTTTTTGAAGCCCCCGAGGAAAACATGTTACATAGAAGGCCCCTTAAAATGCGGTCCTGTGTGTGATGTTTCATTTTTGGCCACGACTTGTGAATCCTGTATACGCATATTTTCTTCGCGTGACAACTTTTATACGTGAATTTACCTGACACATCTTGTTTCCTTGTCCTTCCCAATTTAACCGTTCATCCCACAGCGGTTCCTTTTGCGTACAAACAAAAAATGGCTCCCAAAATCTTTGGCTACCAGTCCTTTTAGTATCTGTGAAAACGTCCAAACCTTCGCTCACATTAGCTTGTATCCATTCCTTGTTTCTTGGGATTCTACAAAATAAGCAGGATCATTAGTACGACTGTCCTTTTATTTTACGCCAGTCGCATGCACTGACTGACAGTGAATATAGTGACGTTATAAGGTCGGCATTTCTAGGGCACTACTAATATAGATGAAGTTCAACAGTTTTTAAGATGGATGTATTATGTCTTACCGAACCACATGCTACAGAAGACATCACTGATGCTGAATAGTATTACAATTACTAATTATAAAACCTACAGATGCAACTCCAACTCCAGACATACTGGAGGTGTAGTGATTTATGTTTACCACAAAATACAGATCACATTATTCGATTGTACCACTTTAGACTATGCATATACTGGTATGCACATATACAGTTCAAATTATTTGGGAAACGTTATGATCTTTGTACTTTTTACCGTTCACCAAACAGTGATGCGGATACATTTTTAACGTTTTTTGAAGAAAAATGCGAAGAAATGTGGAATTTTAGAAACAATATAATACTTTTAGGTGATTTTAATATAAATTATTATGGTGCAAGCTTGAAAACAAGAAAATTGAAAGAAACCATAAACAACTATGGGTTCAAGCAAAAAATTGAAGACAGTAGCAGAATAACATCGTTATCAGAGACTTTGTTAGATGTTGTTATTGTAAATTTCGAATGTGCAGGGATTAAAGCTGTACATACACCTAAAGTTAGCGATCACAGTTGGACAATGCTGCCCTTGGTAGGGAATTTTTCTGATACAAAAATTAAGAAAATCGTAAATACTATTAAGTATGAAAGACTTGAACGAGAACTTGCTGGCTGCTATTGGAATTTTGGTGAGAATATGGAAAAAATATATGACAACATAATAGGAAATATAAAAACTTGTTTAGATCTTGCAACTGATAAAAAAGAGATTTGCTCGACAAAAAATACACCCTGGTATAACAAGAATATTAAGGCAGCTCAAAATTTGAGAGACAAACAATACAATAAATGTATATTCACAAAATCAAATGATGATTGGGAGGTATATAAAACTCTTAGGAATAAATGTGTATATGTAATTAGAGAAGAAAAAAGGAAATTCTACGATAAACAAATCGTTGATAACAAGTGCGACAATGTACAGATGTGGAAGACTAAAAAGACTGATCAATTCGAAGCCGCATGATTGTGTAAATCAAGTTCAATTCGAAAACGGTACCGAAACAAATTCTTTGGTGCTTGCAGACAAACTAAATGAATATTTTGTGGAAAGTATTGTTGATATTGTAGGTACTGTCTTACTACCTGACTATATGAAAATCAGTTTCCAGGGGGAAATGTTGCATACACTTTCAAAATTTCGCAGTGTATCATTAAATTATCTAAGAAAAAAAGTAAACAGTTCAAAATCATATAACAACTGTGCCGAAATCACTACTAAAAACGTGCTGAAAAACTGTTTCGAAATTTTGGGATATCCTGTATTAAATTGGATCAATTGTTCACTGAGAAGCAGTTCTTTTTCTGAAAATTTGAAATGCTCTACAATAACACCAGTTCCCAAAATAAAAAATTCTAAAAGATGCAGCGATATGAGACCAGTAAATGTGTTACCAGACATTGAAAAATTATTAGAGTCCATAGTGCATGACAAATTAATGCAGTTTATAGAAGAAAACTGTTTCGAAATTTTGGGATATCCTGTATTAAATTGGATCAATTGTTCACTGAGAAGCAGTTCTTTTTCTGAAAATTTGAAATGCTCTACAATAACACCAGTTCCCAAAATAAAAAATTCTAAAAGATGCAGCGATATGAGACCAGTAAATGTGTTACCAGACATTGAAAAATTATTAGAGTCCATAGTGCATGACAAATTAATGCAGTTTATAGAAGAAAATTTTAGTGGAGGCGCAAGCTGGCTTTCGAAAAAAATATTCCACAGAAACGGCTTTCCAGTTGGTAACTGAGAATTGGAGAAGAGCCATAGACTCAGAAGAAGTTGTCATAGCAGTATTTTTGGATTTGAAGAGGGCATTTGAAACGATTGATAGAGATATTTTGTTAGGTAAATTGAAGGCATATGGTATAACAGGAAATGCTTTAGATTGGTTTAGAAAGTATTTGTCTAAAAGGATGCAAGTACAAAAGTTAATGACACTATTTCATCAAAAATTGAAAATACGTTGGGTGTTCCACAGGGCAGTATCCTGGGACCACTTCTTTTTATTTTATACATAAATGATTTACCTGCCATAGTCAAAAAAGCTTGTCTCAAAATGGTTAGCATCTAACAGACTAAAATTAAATGCAAGTAAAACGAAAGCCTTGTTAATCGAAAAAAAAAACAATGTACAAATGTTCAACTGAATATTGATGGTGAAGATATTGAATTCGTAGAAAATTTTAAATACCTGGGGGTTTTTGTTGACTCTCGATTAATTAATTTTGATATTCATTATGAAAAAGTTATAAATAAGATTAGTAGTAAAGTGGGATATTTATCGAGAGTTTCTGGATGTCTGAATTCATATAGCAGAAAAATTATCTATAATACCATCATTCTTCCAAATTTCTTGTACTGTTCGACTATTCTATATTTAGCAAATAATTCTATTTTTGAAAGACTGCACATTTTACAAAATAAGTGCATGAGAATAATACTAAATAAAGATAAATATACTCCAATTAGGCAAATGCTTAGCAAATTAAAATGGCTCAATTTAAAAATTTTTATCAAATATCTTGTAATGATATTCATTTATAAAGTAAAAAATAATATATTTCCATCAAGTCTAACTAATTTAACATCATCAAATGTCGACCATCATTTACATAATACCAGAAATAAAGATGACTTCCATTTAATGACCAAAAAGTATAACATATGCTACAAATCTGTATTTCATCAAGGGTTGATTGAATATAATGAATTATACTCGGAGATAAAAGACCAGAAAACTTTGACAAAATTTAAAGTAAAATTGAGAAATCACATGTTAAATCTACAATTATAGGTTGCCCAGCATTTACATCATACACCATATGGCTTGAATTTACTAGTTCTAAGTTGTTTACAATTGTTCTGTTTATGTAGCCAAATGTGCTAAATAAATCTTTCTACTACTACTACTGATATGCGCCGACCAACAAAAGTGACGTCATAATATGTCGTATAAGACCAAATACAAAGTCGATATGACGTGGATATGACTTCTATCGGAGGTCAATATGACGTACAGTCGCTCGCAAAAAAAAATCGCGCGGTGTATCCGAATTCTTCTGAAAAATTGAGGATGTGGCAACACGTCGCCCCACAAGCAGTGAGTTCAGGAGTGGTAGAAAGGTGTCGAGACTCATATTCTACTTAGTTAGAAGCATTTGGACAAAGTGGTTAATAAAGAACAAAAAAACACCGTTTGATCTCAAACACGTTCCATTCCTCCGATGGTTCAAAATTTGTAGCAATTTATCAAAATCGCTCTGCCTTTTCACAGGAAGCCAAAACACATTGTTTGGATGTCCCCCAAGCCTTATTGACTATGTGGTGGCCCATAAGTCCTTTGAGCTGGAAAAAAAGGAATAAAACCAAACTAGTTACATTATGAAGAATTATTATATTTTGTTATCATCTTTATTGAATGGGAATTAAGTTTTAAAAATCACATCGTCTAAATGCAATCCAGTACGATCACGGCACTCATATAAACGACGTCTAAAATTGTCGATGACTGCGCGGCAAGTCAACACTGTAATGCTTGCGATTTCTCTTCGGATATTTTCTTTCAGGACATCAACTGATCGCGGAGTGGTGTCGTACACTTTACTCTTGAGGTAGCCCCATAAAAAGAAGTCCATTGGGGTCAAATCTGGACTACGTGGTGGCCAGGAAATGTCTCCTCTTCGAGAAATTACTTTGCTGGGAAAAAGTTGACAGACAACGGGCGTAGAAGTGTTGGAGGTGTGGGCAATTGCTCCGTCCTGTTGAAACCAGGTCTGCGTATTATAGCCTGGAAAATTCTGCAACGCTGGTGTCAAAAACTCTTCTATCATTGCTACATACCGCTCCGAAGTAACAGTTAATGCGCGACCTCTGTCGTCCTCAAAAAAATAAGGGCCTACGATGCCATGCGTTGACATAGCAGCCCAAACTGTAACTTTAGGGCTGTGTAAGGGCTTCTGATGCTTACGCCTTGGATTTTCGGGGCTCCAATAACGGCAATTTTGTTTATTTACATGCCCGCTTAAATGAAAGTGAGCCTCGTCCGAGAACAACACATTATTGAGCGAAGAAAATCGATTCAACATTTCATTCGCAAAGTTTAGTCTCTGAATAGCGTCATTATCTTTTAATTCCTGCACTAACTGAATTTTGTAAGCGTGCAGACGTAAATCTTTCCTTAAAATCCGCTGTAAAGATGTTCTGGGTACGTTTAGTGCACTGGAACGCTTATGAGTAGACTGGGTAGGATTTTGACGAACAGACTGTGCCACAATGTTGATGTTTTCTTCAATACGAGTTGTCCTTGGTCGACCCCACCGCTGTTTATCTAACGTCAAACCAGTCTCTTCGAACTTAGCAACCCAGTTCTTAATCGTTTGAGCTGTTGGACACTTTTTAAAATTGTGTAAATTGTGGTATTCTCGATATTTACGCCGCGCAATGGTTGCCGAATCATTATTTTGATAAAACGCGCGCACACAAAAAGCACGATCCGCTCCAGTGAAACACTCCATGGCGACTGAATTCCCAGACACTGAAGATACTGCCCCCACCTCGCCCGCGCCGCTCACGCTCACCCGTTAAATTTTATTCAAATTTGAAATTTCAAAGGACTTATGGACCACCCTGTACTATCATAATGCACGTTATGCATGCACTTCACTATTGACGATGATCGTGTGATCGTTCATATTAGGCACGATCATCGTGCAAGCATCCACACAGCATCATCAATATGGACATGGGGGGTGTTGTTGCTGCAACCATTTATTTACGACGGCGAATGAGTAATGCGCCCGAACGCAACCACCCGGAGATTCCTTTGATGCGGGTCCGAAAAACCGACAATTTACGGGTCGGATGCGATCATAGACGATGATCGGCGAGTATATCCGAGTAGAGGAGCCAATAGATTTGAAAGACAAAATGGACGAACCATTGCCAAACGGCGAACACGCATTGGGCTTGGACATCGCGAAGCACAATCTTGTTTCTTCGCTTATGGTCGGCTGAATGATATACCAAAATTTGAATGTTTACCGCGCTTGATTACAAATATTCTGGCAAAACTTTTTTATACAGGGTGTCCGCAAAGTTGGGGTTTTCCTTTACACGACGTGTAGATCTTGAAAACATAAGCAATTTTTCTTAGTACCATATACACCAATGTCTCAAGGGAACCGAGATAAAGGGCTCTGCAACATCAAAAATATCTGAATACCGTCCTGTAGCCGCGACCCGCGACATCCCCGAGTGGTGCAAGGTCACTGGCTCAACCCGAGGACAGAACTGGGTCGGGGTCAGTGTGTCAGGTCAGTATGCAACCTTCAACCGACGGTTACGGTCACGCGTGTAGAGGTAATCGCGTAGACGAAAATCCCTCAACAAGCACTAGAGACGTGGCTAGAGAAGAGCAAGTATCAAAAACTAAAGTGTGGCAAACGCTGCGTGAAGAGGGGCTGTATCCGTTTCACGTCCAACGTGTACACGCCCTTCAACCTGACGATTTTCCAGCAAGAGTGCGGTTTTGTGAGTGGTTGTAGCATCAACATGACAATAATCCGGACTTTTTGAAGTGCATATTGGTGATAGACGAATCTACGTTCACGCGTAATGGGGTGAATAACTTTCGCAACACTCATGTTTGGTCAGTAGAAAATCCGCACGCTATCCGTCGGGCACATTTTCAACAAACATTTTCGGTGAATGTTTGGGCTGGCATGGTGAACGGTATGCTCATTGGACCATTTATTCTCCCAAATCGATTGGACGGGATGCAATACCTAGACTTTTTACGCAACATTTTGCCTTCCTTGTTAGAAGATGTGCCATTAAGTGTAAGACAATGTGGTTTCTGCACGATGGTGCACCGCCCCATTTTAGACGCGAAGTGCGTGAGTTTTTGAATGAATTATTTCCGAATAGGTGGATCGGACGTAATGGACCCGTAGCGTGGCCTCCGCGATCTCCAGACTTAACACCATGTGATTTTTTTCTTTGGGGAGAAATGAAACGGTTAGTGTACAAAACTCAAGTGCATACGGTTGACGAACTTCGTCTCAGAATTGAACAAGCTGGTGCTTTCATTCGGGGGAGGGACTCCATTCTCAAAGCCTGCACCACGTCTTGCACGCACCTGTGTTTTTGAATCAAACGGCGATAACTTCGAACAATACCTATAAAGTACGTTTACCTAAAAACTGAAAACGCGGCAACGCCGTCATATTTGTTACCTCTGTTCGTGGTCTGCACCACCGCCAGCGTCTGCTCGGTAGCGCATCAGCTGATTTCATTTTCTGTTGGAGCGGTATGATTTTGGGCAGAGACGTACTTAGCCCTTCTCGTCAACTGGAGAGTGACTACTTTTTCCTTTATTTTTTTTACTTGGTCGCCCTCGTTTCACATTACCTTTGTTATTTCAAGTGTAGTTATTTCTGAAAAGGAAAACCCCAACTTTGCGGACACCCTGTATAGAAGATTTTCTAATAAATTTGCTATTTATGGCGATAAAACATAATGGGTAAAATAGCAATTTGAAATATCTGAATATTATTATTAGAAGTCATAATAACTTGATAGTTTTGGTCGAAGAATTCCTGGTACTTTTTTTATAAATAACAATGGAGTGATTAGTATTTTATATCTAGTTTACATAATACATTAAAAGTCTATATTTTCTTTGTAGGTAAGTGTTGATTTTTCAGTGCTGGCGTCAAACTGATGACAGCCTTTTAAATGACGTCTTTTAGCCAATGACGTTTCCGACCAAAAGTGACGGAATAATGACGTAATTTTGGCGAAATCATGCTCGCTGGGACGTGTTACTGCAATTTAAATGTTTCTTCGTTTTTTCGTATCATGTTTTTAAAAGGTCATATTATCAAAGGTAAGTGGAACATTAGTTTCAGCTTTGCTGAGAAAAAAATGTATTACATCCTTTTTTATATTTCAATAAAAGTTGAAATATTGTGTAGTAACAGTCGCCTCGTATACATCTTACCTGTGACAAGGCGTGCAAAGGCCCTGATGGAAGATGATTGCAGTTTTGTCTTCCAACATTCTTCTGAGATCTTTTTTTGTTTCAGGAACTTTTTGGCCTTCGAGTATTTCGAATATCGGCAACACAAATACATTTTTGGACAGCGGCCCTATAAAGTTAAATCGCATATATTACGTAGCACTTATATAAAAATTATGATTATACAGGGTGGCCCAACGAAAAGGTCGCACCCCGTTTGGCTGTCATGGTATATTTTGGGAAAAACGCAGGGATATGTCAATTTTGATTTCTAGGGGGACATCTTTTCATGTACAGCCGTACAATACAGGGTGATCCAAAAATAAAACGTTACACTTTGGATTTTTGAACGGAAAACCCTTTTTTTCATTTTTAGATTCTCCGTGAAGGTTTTAGTAACTTTTGTGTAATAAGGTTTATACCTATCTTCAATCGCTGTGAAGCTATTTGAGTCTAAAGTGTATCTAACGAAGCTACAAAGTAATCGTAAACAGTGGTTGATTCGTGATCAACGCGTGATCGGTAGCCATGGCGCTCTGTCGGCCTCTTCCTGATTGGCTTGTAGCGATGAGCCTCCAGACAAAGTCGCACGGTTGCCACGCTCGGCGAGTTTTCGCCAGAGTGGTTGATCACATTCGCATGGATCACAAATCAATCTGTTGGTGCAATACGTGCAATAACTGTTGTAAAGGGCATTATATAGCAATAAATGGCATCACAAAGGTATATTCCAATTTGATCTGCAGTAAATTATGAACGGCATATACGGAGATGCGAAAACAAGCTCAAAAAGGTGAAGAACATTTTTGTGCAATCTTTATAGTTAAATTTTTCCTAAGAGATAGCATCAGTGAGGGAATTTTTTTCTATTGTCTTATTTTTCACATTAATGCGATGTCGAGGTATGTGGCCCTATCGCAATTGAAAATAAGGTTTCGATAATCCTTCCATAAAGTTTCGATGAGTAAGTACATCTGAAATAACCTTGAGATATTCTTCAGGGAAATACAAAAATCTCATTTTGTGTTTTTTTGTGCAGATTTATCTATTAAAATCCTATCCGCAATCTATTTTCCGTGCACACACCTTCAACCGAATGTATGCCATATATGATATTACCGTTTCCAACTTTCACCAAGGTTAATAGGAACCATAACAGCTCCCTACCCTTCCCCCCTATAAGAATATCGATTTGTAGCCTCACATTTCAAGGTTAGACTTCTTGTAATGTTTCTGTTCAACATTCGGCGATTTCTGACAATTTTCCCAATAAAACATGATCATTGTGACATTAAGCCTGGCAACGCTGCATAGTAGAGGGAACTCTCAGCGTCACGTTGATGGTTCGTCACCACGCACAGGATTGTAATCAGTTACGGATACCCGTTTATGAGCGCGAACGTTTTATGCACGTCTTGACTTGATTTTTCTTGCGGAAATTTAATATTAGTCTAAAATGTCTGACACAGATACAGCTGATGAATTGGTTGAAATCACCTTAACGTCACGCAGAAAAAGGGCTAAAAAGCTTCATCTTAGCGCAGGTGAAAAACAAATTATTCTAAATATCTACAAGAACCAGATGCAAGAGAATAGTGGATTGGCTATAGAAAATATCGTATGTAAGGTTGCTGAAATTTCTGGAGTAGGTCGATCAAGTGTTTACAAAATCTTGAAGGAATATAGACAAAATCATTCACTATCTGAGCCAAAAACATATCCAGCGAGAAAAAAATAATCGAAAAAATAGATGACTTTGACAAAAGTGCCATTAGAAGAAAAGTACATCACTTTTCTTCAGGAATGAAATACCTACAATAGATAAAATATTGAAGCAAGTGAATGATGATGAGGACCTGCCAAATTTTAAAAGATCTACGTTCCATAAGCTGTTGAAAGAACTAGACTTTCGATTTTTGAAAAGAGGAAGGAATAGTTTATTGATAGAAAAGGAGGAAATTGTTATCTGGAGGAAAGAATACCTTAGAAAAATTAGGCAATTTCGCGCTGAGGGAAGAAAAATTTATTATTTAGACGAAACATGGGTGAACGCGGGGCATACGCAGGGAAAGGTTTGGGTAGACAGATCTGTGAGGTCCTCAAGGCAGGCTTTTTTAGATGGCCTTTCGACGGGATTGAAAAATCCTGCAGGTAAGTTTCGAAGTATATGAACTTTTTTGGATGCAGATAATTCATTTTCTGATCGAATCAATGATTTGGAAGCTCCGAACTCAGTTTTGCTATCTCATCCAAGTTTCTGAGTATTTCCTTCACCCAAAAACTAATCTAAGACCCTATCCTACACTAACCTAAAAAGAGTAAGTTGCTTAATTTCGTCATTTAGTGCGCTCGCTGAGAAGTAAAATAACTAATTACTTTCAGGCAAGGGAAAACGCCTGATCATTTGCCGCATAGGTAGCGTAGATGGATTTGTTCCTGAAGCATTGTGGGCATTTGAATCCAAAAAAACTGGAGACTATCACGAAGAAATGGATGGTAACTCATTTGAAAATTGGTTCAAAAAATTTTTGCCGACACTTGATGATAACGCAATTATTGTGATGGATAATGCCCCGTACCACTCCAGAAAATTGGAAAAAATTCCAACAATGGCCACCAAAAAGGCAGACATTCAACAGTGGCTTGTCTCAAAGAAGATCGACTTCGACCAAACAATGGTCAAAGCTGAGCTGATAAATATAGTCAAGCGACATAAGTATAAATATGATTTAAAAATTGTTGACGAAATGGCCAAAAACCAAAATAAAACGATTCTCAGGCTGCCTCCCTATCACTGCGAACTGAATCCTATCGAGTTGATTTGGGCCGACATCAAGCAATACGTGGCGTCAAATAACAGCACTTTTAAGTTTTCTGACCTTAAAACACTGTTTGATGTTGCTGTCGATAGAATTACGCCAGCAAAATGGAGAACATGTATTGACCATGTCCAAGAGAAGGTTGAAACCAAAATGTGGGATATGGACAATATCATTGCCACCCAAGTTGAACCCCTTATAATTGACATCAACAATTCTGATGATTCAAGCTCCTCGGAATACAGCATATAAATCGATTGATACCATTAAGACTGGCAGTTTAACGGGCTTTTTGGCAAGACAGGTAAGTTCATTATAGACTGCAATCAAAGTGTAAGTTTCTAGTTATTAATGTGGAAATTCCAAATTTATAATTACACAAAATTAGGGTTAATTTAGGAGTTCCAAAGCATAATAGTGCCATTTTGACCTTCTTCCTATTTCTCATGTAAATTTTAATAGCAATCAAACTAACAAACTTTATGGAGTCTGTAATAAACTTTTGTACTACTACTACTACGTCTGTAGTTTCTATTTGCTCAAAAAAATTTGCTCTGCATTGTGAATAGAAGGTTGATTTGTAAATATTATTGGGTATATACATATGTAAGTTAATAATAAAATATGAACAATTTCAATTGAGATGGTCCACAAGTTTTTTTCGTGTGCGTTTTAGTAACATTTTGCTGAAATGGTGAATACAGAATTTTTTGCACTGATTCCTAATGTCGAAATATGATTAGAAAGGCGTGGTATATTCCTGATAATTTACTATGCTTTTGATAGAATTTACAGCAACACATATCTTGTACGACATTTTTTGATAGATCAGTCACAATAGCTTGATACGGCCCTGTAGCGTCTCCTACGGTTAAGTTCTTGATCACGTGCAATACGGGTGTATATGTTTGATTTTACTTTGTTTCTTCGATGGATACAGTTTAGAATAAAATTCGACTAACTTAATACTGATAATAATCATGGATACCAGCAGGAACACTTAGCATCAGTTAGTGTCATCGTATGTCATAGAAAAACTGTCTTTCATTTCAAATTGTTCAGTTACCTACCTAAATATTGAACAATGAATTAAAAAAAAAGGAATTACCACAATGGGGCATTGCAAGAGCCCGGTTGTTTAATGCGTTACAACCAAACAAAAATATCAACGATAAGTATGGGGCTAAGAAAATCTGACGAAACTGGATCTGTGTTTAATATTGGCCGTAATCGTCATCGCGAAAATCGACGAGCTAGAAATGAAGCCGCAGAAATAGCAGGTTTGGGACACGTAGCACTTGATAACGCCCAATGCACTCGTGGACTGGCTAGTTCTTCAGGATTTACGTGCTCAATGTTACAAAGATTTTTTGAAAGCCAGTAAATTTCACCCGTACAAAATAAAACTTGTCAATTGAGCTTAATGAAGACGATTTTGATAGAAGGTTGGATTTTTTCGAATTAATGTCCCAACGTTTAATCAACAATGCAGATTGTTATTTAATATTTGGGGTTTCCATTTAAAAATCTAAAGTGTGACGGAATATCTTATTTTTGGATCACCCTGTATTGTAGGGCTATACGAGTAGATGAAAATATACCAGGAACCAAGAGAGTCACAAATGGGGTGCGACCATTTCGTTGGACACCTTGTATGTAAGTTTGACTTGATTTAGAGGATTCTGATTCACTATATGCACTATTCTGATCATTTCCATGATATGTTTTTACCATTACGAAATTCGTGCATTTTTATGCCTGTGCAACAACAGGATAATTGATCGGAACATCACTCTATCTATACTAAGTGACATATAAATCCGAACACCCAGTTTAAATGGTTTTATTTTAATAAAATTTTGTATAAGTACTTAATGAAGCGTAATAAGTAAATGATAAAGATTTCAAAATGATTGCACTGCTTTAAAGCCCTTTGACCTTTAATAATGTGTGGATGCACCCTGATGCGCTACGCATTCTCCAACGCGCCTACGCATGCTTCTGATCAGGTGGTCAATGTCCTCCTGTGGTATCTCATTTCAGGCAACCACCAACTCCTACCCATCATATCCCACACGTGCTCAATTGGGGATAAGTCGGGAGATCTTGGTGGCCATGGTAACAATGTGACATCATTATGTTGAAAGAAGTCTATTGTGACTCTTGCAACATGTGGTCGGGCATTATCTTGTTGGAAAGTTGGATCTGCCAGATTGTCAAGATAGGGTAAAAGATGGGGTTCTAGAACTTCGTGGATATAACGCTGCGCGTTCATGTTACCTCTGATGAAGATTAAAGGTGACCTGGAACCATAAGCTATAGCACCCCAAACCATAACTCCTACAGTGTGATGAACATGTCTTTCAACAAAAAACTGTGGATCCCTCCTTTCACCACGTCGCCTTCTAACCCTGGCACGACCATCGTGCATGCCTATACAAAATCGAGACTCGTCACTAAAGACAATACTGTTCCATTCCTGATAACAGAGTGACCGCTGTCTGCACCACTCACGGCGATTACGTCGGTGTTCTCGAGTTAAAGGGAGGACCCAGTGTGGCCGGTATGAAAACAAGCCAAAACTTCTCATTCATCGGTAAACACTTCGCATGCCAATAGGTCTTCCGTGTTCTGCAAACCATTCATTTGCAATGGGACCTGGTAGTGGAGAAACGGCCCCTTAAGGCCAATAATCTTAGGCGGCGATCTTCACGGTCTGTTGTTCTACGGCGGCGTCCAGTGCCCCTTGCTCTTTGCGTACGGCCTTCTCGAAGCCATGCCTGACAACACCTAACCACAGTGTCTACACTTCTTTGCACTCTAACTGCAAATGCCCGAAAAGAAAGTCCAGCTTCCCGAAGTCCCACTATACGGCCCCTATCAAACTCACTAAGTTGACGAAATCGTACAGGTCTCCGTACTCTAGGCATCGTAACCGATCGTAAAGGATGTCAAGAACCAAAATCCGCCAACGTTGATTCTTTACTGCGCCTGAAATATTCATTTTTAGAGCGTTAGTGAATTAAAAAAAAGCAGTATGAAAACCGGAATGTCCAACTGATAAGGCTGAAAATTTTTTCACTTGTTATTTACAGTAAGATAAATACATTCACCAACTTTTATTAAAATAAAACCATTTAAACTGGGTGTTCGGATTTATATGTCACTTAGTATATGTTGAAGAAAAGATACGTACGAGTATACTCGGTAAGCATGTAACATGAATTAAATATTTTACCTATGTACTCCGGATTTATCATTATAAAATCCATGAACTTCTGAATGAAATGTTTCGTTGGGTACAGTTCGACGTCTAAAGGGAATACCAAATGGGTTTGTACTGTCAATTTCGCAATATTTCTTGCAACGTTTATTGGATATGTGAGGTTTTGCTTTGATTTATACATATCTTCGTCTCTCATTGTTTCGTACGGTGGAGGTTGTGAACAGTTATAAGTATCCTCATAAATGTTTATCAGGGGGATGCTCTAGAACAAAATTTCACTTCTTTACTTTTATACTCTGCCGAATAGATTTAAGAATAAGTTGTTTAGCTACCTGATGAAAGGGCATATGGTTATATTCAAAGAACAAATGAAACGTCACCAATTCCTTAATCTTTTCATTCTTGCAATTTCTCAAATAGGCTATGCATTTCAAGGTGTTCAAGAAATCGAAACCAGGGGCATGTATTGCAATACTCATAGGTCCATCCCATCTGTCTACCAACTGAATGACGTTGTCCAAAAATCTATAGTCTCCGGGTGCAGTTAGTGTTATCGTCTCGTGGCACCTGAAATATTTCATATTATTTAATTGATAAAAAAAATACGGGATATGATTCCTTAGCTCAGTTTAGGAAGAAACGTTTAGTACTGAGTGAAAGTATCAGATGAGGAATGTGGTACATGCTCCTGCACATTTCAGTATTCATGGTAGGGAACTCGTTTACGAATCCTGCACATGCGGACATTTGAATGAAAAATCCGGACAAAAGTCAAGATGCCGGAACAGATGCTAGAAAAGGCCCCACACTTTTTTGTTTATTCACTGCTATTTCTCGCCAGTAGTCTCGGTATTGTGACGAGAGGTTTTTACAAGTTATTACGCATCGTGTACTAGTTTTTCAAAATGCACGTTTCTGAGGCAGGTACGTACAACCTATTTTGTCAATTTTAATTGTAATATTAACTAATTTATTAGAAAAAATTACGTTTTCGCGAAATCTATGTTCCATTCATTTTTACCTTTAATATCAATTAAACGAATGGTTTTGATGAATTTCTGGATGTATCCCGGTTATGATTCTTGTCTCATATTATACAACAGGGTGTTTCAGATTATTGTTGCATAACTTTAAGATTCGATAGAACTTTTAAAATTAATGCATAAAGTCTATATAAACATGGGTCGAAAAATGCTAAATTTACTTTTTAAAATAGTTTTTTTTAAATATTTCGAACAATATTTGATGTATAACAGTGAAAATTGGTATAGAAGGGTTTTTTGGTACGACAAAACGAACCATGGGCATAGTTTTACTGTAGCCGCTAGAGGGCGCTCTCTACTGAACCTGTAGTGTATTAAATTGACTGAAAATTTTTTCTTAGTGCAATTTTTTGCTTTTTGAATAAAAAAACTTATTCTTCGCACTTTTCTGCATAAAAAAGCTCTCCTGTGAGTTTTCGTTATGGTTAGCCGTTTTAGAGATATTTCGATTTTTAAGGTTCGCTGCATTTTTAATTATTTGTGATAAAATAACGTTAAAATGTCAGTATCTCGATAATCTTTAGAAGTAGGCTGCGCCTGCAAATATTTTTGAAATTGAAAGCAGAATAAGGTTAAACGTCAATTAGTTGACAGTTAGTTTTGTTGTCTGTTGAAACCAGAAACGTTTTTTTGCAATTGTGAATGCACGAAATTTAGTTTCTTTTACCTGTTTTTTTTTTGTAAGTTTTATAAAAAAGCCACAGTGTGGAGAAACGGTCCCTTAAGGCCAATAATCTTAGGCGGCGATCTTCACGGTCTGTTGTTCTACGGCGGCGTCCAGTGCCCCTTGCTCTTTGCGTACGGCCTTCTCGAAGCCATGCCTGACAACACCTAACCACAGTGTCTACACTTCTTTGCACTCTAACTGCAAATGCCCGAAAAGAAAGTCCAGCTTCCCGAAGTCCCACTATACGGCCCCTATCAAACTCACTAAGTTGACGAAATCGTACAGGTCTCCGTACTCTAGGCATCGTAACCGAAGATAAATACATTCACCAACTTTTATTAAAATAAAACCATTTAAACTCGGTGTTCGGATTTATATGTCACTTAGTATAATTCCACGTTTTCCAATTATAAGCATTTTATTTCTTTATCTGCTGTTCTTAGTAACATTATTAACCATAACAGAGCTAATTACACTTTTTAAAGTAACAAAATGAAAAAAGTTTTTTCCGGATTTTTAATTCAAATACTCGTATGTGCGCTGGATAGGACGTGACGAAACTCAATCTTGGCCTCCCATGGCCTCTGATTTAGATAGTTTAGACTATTTTTTGTGGGGGCACCTCGAGACTTTAGTTTATGCTCCACTGGTTCAAACTGTAGAGGAACTAAGACAGACACTTTTACTTTCTTGCCAAACCATAAGAAATACTCCTGAAATTTTTGAAAGGTTGCCAATTCGTGAGAAAGGGAATTGAAACCTGTATTCTAGCAGAATATTTTCGACAATTCTTGTGCTTATTAAATTAAATAGTACTAGTTTATTTGATCCACAGAAATTGTCAAAACCTTTTTTTTTTTAATTTTCATGCATTGCAAAATCTCTCAAATCTCATGTGGTAGTTTACAGGTAAGATGTGTTTTTGTTTAATTTTTATACAAGTAAAATCAATTGATTAAAGTAGAGGTAAAATTGGTTGCAAAATAAATGAGGATTTCAAAAATGCCATCAATTAAATTACACCCTGTATAGTGAGAATTCCAGAGCTAAAATTTTAATCCATAGTGATGCAATTGTGTAAGTAATTTATTTCTGGCATTAGTTTCAAACGCCCTTTTAAGTCCAAAAACACTGTCACTATATTTTTCATACATCTCCTCCTTTCTGACTTCATTGTTGACTGACATAATTGCTTGACAAGAGTCGCTTCCTTTCACAATGTTGCAAAAAAGTAAACTTACATGAAATTTCTATTTGCTCTCACGAAATTCTTGAATACCATGTAACTTCCGTGTGTGTCAACGCTTTTCTCCAAAGCGGTGTCCTGACAATGGAGGAACTGTCTCCACTGTTGTTCTGTCAGTTTTGATTTCACATTATGAACGTCTCTGTGTACCTTCCAGTCCAGTACGAGTAAAAGTGTGATAAGTAGGATGATGCTGAATATAAATGCTTGAGAATATGTCGAGCGACTTTTCAATATATACATTGTTTAGAATCTTCTAAAAAAATCTTCATTTGTAACGTTTGTTGGAATGAATTTGAAACAAACCTGTAACATACAATTGTTGTTATCAGATCAAAGTTCTCCCGATGTTAAAACCTAAATCTAGATCATATGAATTGAGGTCTATTTTATAATTGCACAATTTGGGGAAGGTGGAGTTTGGTGTTATTTGAAAATTTTTTTCGAGCTTAAAATTCATTTTAAATGAACAGGGCAGCTGAAACGTGTAGTAGTAGAAGTAGTAGAAAGATTTATTTAGCACATTTGGCTACATAAACAGAACAATTGTAAACAACTTAGAACTAGTAAATTATCAGTCTTTTTAAAGTCTTCCACATCTTTACACTGTCGCACTTGTTATTATCGATTTGTTTATCGTAGAATTCTCTTTTTTCTTCTCTAATTACATATACACATTTATTCCTAAGAGTTTTATATACCTCCCAATCATCATTTGATTTTGTGAATATACATTTATTGTATTGTTTGTCTCTCAAATTTTGAGCTGCCTTAATATTCTTGTTATACCAGGGTGTATTTTTTGTCGAGCAAATCACTTTTTTATCAGTTGCAAGATCTAAACAAGTTTTTATATTTCCTATTATGTTGTCATATATTTTTTCCATATTCTCACCAAAATTCCAATAGCAGCCAGCAAGTTCTCGTTCAAGTTTTTTGTACTTAATAGTATTTACGATTTTCTTAATAGTACATAGTAATAAAAGATGTAATTTCCCAATGAAAGTAAGCAATTAAAAAATGGCAAATACGTACCAGAATAGCACATTTTCCGTAAAAGCACCACGACCGCGCATACGAAGTTACACGAATTTACGCATTGTCAAAATTTGTCCTTAATACCTGGCAAACATAGTCGGATAATAAGATTATACAATCGAAAGACATGACTATTGTTACAGAATATTTTCCGTTTTTGTTTACATTTAACAAGGTAAGTTTATAATATTCTAGATAATATTATTGCAATATAAATTTGTTGAGTATTTGTCTAATAGTATGTACAAATATACAAGGTTATTCCAAAATAGATAATACGAAATTTAAAAAAAACTTGCTGAATTTCAAGGTCGACAGTACTTATGGTAGTAGTACAGAAAAATTAGATAAAGAAATATGTTTCCCGGTCGATTTCCTTAAATCATTCCAGTCTTCAACCTTAACAAAAAAATTTGCCTAAAATATTTAACAGTACACTGTATCGAATGCCTTTTACCGATCGACAAACACACAAAAAGATGGAATTTTCTCATCAAGAGTATCGGAAGTAATAAACAAGATGATTTTTTATCACACAATTTATTTAGGTACTTAGAAATACAATATCACACTAACATAGTAAATGTAAAAAGCAATACCTAGTTAGAAAAATTATTCAACAAAAAAGATAGATATACAAACAAATATACAGTTTTTACACAAAAAAAAAACTGATTACTAAATTGATACTCTTTAATAAATTATTTTATCGATAAATACTTTTTTCTGCAACTTAAAGCCTATAAGTTAATACATATCTTTGAAATAATATCAGCTCTCCTAATCGCTTTAAGAAATGGCACAATACTCATCCAACTACAAGAATATGAATAGAAAAAGTTATAGGGATATTCAACTAAGCCCTCAACTATTCACATTACAAAACCTCGTATACGTAGAATTGGGACTCAAAACTGTAACATACGTATGACAATACAGAATACAATACAGTGGTTATAAAATAAAGGGGATAAGTAGCTTGGTAGGCGGAATTTTAGTCGCCATAGAGCGTTCCACCGGTGAGCAGCGTGCGTTTTCTGTGTTAAGGCTTATTACAAAATTGGAGATTTGTGTACTATTGCGCGGCATCTGGTTCGCTCTGAGTTCAGTTTACACGATCTAAATCAAAGAAAGAGATCAGACATATCAAGAAAGACTTTTTTTGGTGAAAGACCATCTACGCTGTGCGTTTGCCGAAACAATGTTAGAGCGCTTTCCTAGTTTGAACGATATTCTTCTTTCTGATGAAGCTCATTTTCATTTGAGTGGATTTGTCAAGAAGCAACATTTACCGGTATTGAGTCAAATTAAAACAGCAACGACCTTGGCATTCGCGTTATGTTTCAGTTTGGGCGACCATGTCGGTTGAAAAATTCTAATTGCTACACTGTACTTCTACGTAGCTTTTTCTTTCCATAACTGCATAATTTTGAAGCCTACCATAGCAGAACGTGGTTTCAACAAGACGGCGCCGCGTGTAGGTCTACTTTATTAAAAATATTAATTATGTTCGCTACGCTTTGTAGTTTTTTCTGATTTTTTAAAATCCTCTTAGCTGAATAGCCCACCCTGTATTTCATAATATCTGTTAGTGATTTTGAAAAAATACAGCACGTTTAACAACAATTTGATTAAATTTACGATTCCATATTATGAATCTAATTGGAGCTACTTCTCAAGGTTCACGTAAGATATTTTTTTACTCCATAACACACTACATATCTTCATTTGTAATGTAAATTGTTGCCGGGCGTACTACCTTCACTTTTATCATGATGAAGTTCTACAACCTCAAATGCAGTTAAAATTGTTCTAAAAAATACTACTTACCATCTGTAAAATTACCAGTGTTGCAAATAATTTTCTCACGAACGATTTTAACTAGTCCCCTTTTTCACTCTTAAATCTTATTATAATGAACCACATTTTAAAAACGAAAAGTAAATTAAAGTACTAAAATTAACATCACAGATATTACAGAAATGTGCATCAATACGTGCATATCTTTATTAAGCAAAATTGTACGTTTTTCGGGTAGATGGTCTTTTTGTGTTGATATGTTGGCGGTTTGATGAAATTTGAGCTGCACGCGAAATTATTTTAATACGAAATACCGAGATATTTGTTACTTTAGTGGTTGTGAGCATCATCACTGTCACAGAAAATTTTTCCAAAACTTTATATGAATAGGAAATATTATTCAAAGGTATTCAAGATTTTTTAATGTTCAATTTTTGAAATTTTACAGAACGTATATAATTCGGATTTAACACAAGCAAACTTATGGGCAATATAGATTCTTTAAAGTCTGGAACTTTATATTGTGTATGTACAGGTAGATTAAAATTTTCCAAAAACCTCGATTGTTTGATCATACTATCTCCAGCAAAGGTAAAAATAATCGGTGATTTAATTATTTTAGGTAATAAACGAATGCAATTTTTTTATGTGTGTCATTGTTATAATTTGTACCATAAGGATGCTATTTATCTGATAGAGCCTAACGTTTTTAGCGTTCGTATAACGCGTCACAAATGTCAGCTATACGTAAGCTGTTATGTAAATTTTTCTAAGCTTGTTTTTTATTTTCCATCTTAAAACAGCATTTCTTGTATACCCCATTGAAAATTTGTGAAAATTCTAGGACAGTGTTGGTAATGTACATATTACCATATGATGGTATAGTTTATAGGAATATCAGAGTATTAATGACACAACCTTCAAGTGAATTTAAGCTGCTCATTTTAATTTCTCGTAAGTTTGTATTTTATATTTGCCGTTAATAAAACTAGACCTTTTTAGCAATGACACATTTCTGCTTACACGGTTTAAAAAGTTCAAAAGTGTCAAAGTCACAACAATGTTTGTGCTAATTGACTGTTATGATACTGCGGAAAGGCCTTTTGGTGATGTACGCCCAAGAATACTTCACAATTCGATAATCAAAACATAAACTTAAGCAGATTAGACACTGTATTGGATGATGAAAGTAAATTTTGCTGCTTAGAAACTCGTTGGATAACTTGGATAATTGGCCATTGATTACATCTCAGAATGTGACATTAAATCGATATTATGGATGCATTTTCTTGGAAGCACCTCACAGGAGATTAATGCCATATTTGTTAAAAGTACATTGATACTGAAATAATACATTCCAATACATAAAATAGTGTACTGTATCTTAAGACATATATTTTATCATAAAGCAGACGCTCATTGCACTTTTGAGGATGAACCTTTTTGTAAATAATGTAATTATTTACATATCTATTTTCCTAGCTTAGAACAATACTTTCTTTTAGAAAACATATCCGCTACAAAGTTGTTAACATCAGAGACGATACTTACTCGGCTCAGTGAAATACTGAGGCTAGCTTCATAGTTCATAAGTACAATTTCTCTAATTACAGTTACTACCTGTCACGCTCAGTAAGTTTAAAAAAATCTCAAAAATGTCATAAGAGCAGTCTACTGTAGCAAATGTAGTTAACAAAATCAGCTTAGACTTAATTAGGCCTTCTAAGGAGTTCCATCTAACTTTTTGGCTTTGATGTGTACCTAAATCGCATAACTACCTCAGAACCACAGCCGTCAGTCTCGATATTACTTGATGTGAATTATAAATATCGTTACAAACAACACAAAAATATAATAATGTATCAAATTTTGTCGGCAGCAATAATAATAATAATAATAATAATAATGTATCAAATTTTGTCGTTTGTTAACAGATCAATAAACTGAACTATTTCGTTTTACAATTTCCATACTCCTCAAAACTTCGAGATATGTTTTGGTATATAAGATTTGCGTTTGAGCCTTGTCTTTTCTGATGAATAATTCATTGAGCTAAGGATTTGGAATATTCTTAATGATTTGGGGCCCACGTGTTCAGTATTGAAATATATGTTTATAAGCAATATTACAGCCGACGTCAACTACGAGCCGTGAACAAAGAAATCTGGCAACGTAGGTGGTAGTGTTACTCCCGCCGCTGCTTGCTGCATCGACGCAACTCGTGCTCAAAACGCCGAGAAAACATAACCTTTTCAATTTGTGATTTTGGAATCCCAGAGGCTGTAATTAAGAGATAAGCTTGTTATCTAAGCTTCAAAGTGTGTGTATGTGTTCAAAGTGATCGGTGACTATAATATATGAGACTCCAGTTGTAGTGCTTCTGTGCTTTAAAAATAAACTAAGAAGTGTTACTGTGGCTGTTCGCCCCTCATTACGCTAAGGATTTCAACTATTGAAAACGTGCAAATTCAGGTTGTATTTTTCTTTTTTCATTTATCAAGTATTTGACGCAGACAATATGCCTCGTTGTTGCTGTGTTCCTTTATGCAATGCAAACTATAATTCTGCTTTGAAAACAGAAAGCTATGTTTCAACTATTCGCTTCCCAAGTACCGAAAGTCTGAAAAACAAATGGCTTATGGCAATTCCCAGAAAAAATTGGACACCTTCAAAATATTCAGCTGTGTGCAGTCGTCATTTTAGAGAATCGGATATCATCAGGACAGAAAATATAGTTTTGGCGGATGGAACAGTCCAAAATAATATACCTTTGAAATATCCAAAATTGAAAGAAACTGCTGTTCCCTCCATTTTCCCAAACTTGCCATCATATCTTTCAAAAACTGAAGCACCCAAAAGAACTGACCCAATGCAAAGAAAACAAAAATTAATTGAGAAACATGGAAAAGCTATCCAGAATTTCGATGGTATGGATAAGATCAAAGATAAATTTAGTACAAAAATGTGGATTTGAAGTTATTTGTGTTGTTACTGATGATCACCGAATTAATAGAGCAATGTTCAGGAAATTAGCAAAGGATTCATCAGAAAATTATTCTATTCCAAATCCACATAATCCTGATACGAACATAAATTTAACTTATGATGTTGTGCATATTTTCGAGAGTATCAGAAATAATTGGATTAATTTAAAAAACCTAGACAAAACTTTTGTATATCCTAATTTTGACAATAATGATATTATTCAGTATGCTAAATTTGAAAACATTCGTGCTGTATATCAATTGGAAAAAGAAGCTGTAGTTAAGAAAGCATATAAATTAAATTATAAAACATTGCATCCAAATTCATTTGAAAGGCAAAATGTAAATTTTGTAGATAATTTATTCCATCACTCAACAATAGTTGCTATGAATGAATTAAAGTTTAATGATGCTGCACACTTTTTGGAAATAAT